TAAGGTTAACCTTATTCCAGGCAGGAGGAACAGCCTGAGGGGTGGGAGACCTCTAGTAAAAGTTGGTGGTCATGCCGAGCTGGTAATCTCACCGGGATTACGCGCGCGGGCATGCGTTTACAACAGCATCTGATGCTTTCGGTATTTCGGTCAATTGCAACGTTAGTATGATTACTGACACAGGGTAAAATTGACATGGCAGAGACAGTTGCAGGGCTAAAAAAGGAACACGAAGTGCGTAACGCGTCACTGACGCAGGTTTATGAGAGTTACTGATCGGTATCTAGATGCAAGCCTTTACAGTTCAGACAATATTCATGCAAACAATTGGCATATGCGATAATAAAGGCATATTCAGACTTTTTGAAAGGGGGTGCAGAGGAGCAAACCTTAAACATACATCCCGGAAGTACGTCGCCACGATCGGAAAATGCAAAAAACGTAATGACACGTGGAGATGCAGAGAAAAAACTGGCGCGGACAGGTCTCCGGGGACAAAAGTAAGAAGCCTATATCATCTGGAACATCAAGACCCAGAACGGCATGCTGCATTGCGTCTTTAGTTACGTGAAAAACGCAACATTTAAAAGAAACGCAGATGGTAAACCGTCAGGTGGCATATACAGCAATGGGTCACGCTCCAAGCCCGGCACCGTCCAATTTTGTCCCCGTGCACTCAGCTAAGAACCAGTTTTGAAACGGTTTTGCTGTCACCCAGTTTTGCACACTTTGCATATGCCAACGCATTTTCCATCCTTTATGTTGCCATGGTAAGTCGCTCTTGAGGTCATTATCACACCGCTATGTGTTGGTTGCGCTCAAACTAGTGATAAACGTAAGCACTGTGTCGGATTGAAGCATTTGAGAAATTAGAGACTTAAGGCACTTAGTGCTGTTTGCAAAGTGAGGTGGATATTACATCAATACATTCAAGAAACTTATACACGATGCGTATCTGCCCGAAACAGCAATACACATGCATCAATTTGCGTTTGTGTGTCGCTGGGGCTTTACGACGCACTCGGCTGCTGAGGCTTTATGGCGTCGCCTGCCCCTCACCCTGGCAGGAAGGGCGGGGACCGCGGGGAATCGAACCCCGTACCTCTGGTTACCCGGACGCGCAGTAGTTAACGCAGACGCGTTAACCACTACACTACCGGCGCCCATGTATCAATTGGCAAAACAACTTCGCAGGGCGCGCGTCTGTGCTCGTTTCGTGCTACGGTAGTGCACGGATCCTTCAAATGGGCTCGTAAAGCTGAAAGTCTGATTGCCAAGGAGCATTGTCATTTGACCTCGCCGACTGTATATATATATATAGATATATAATAATAATATATATATATTATATATATATGTATATATGTATATATATATATGTGTGTGTTGTGTGTGTGTGTGGTGTGTGTGTGTGTGTGTGTGTGTGTGTGGTGTGTATGTATAATAAGTATTGAGCGAACCGGACGGAATCACACCAGTGGCCAGATATTAAACAAGCAAGACAAAGTAAGCAACCAATCACAAGATCAGCCGGTGAATAATCCACTTGTTCCACCCATAGGTGTCTGTCATTCATGGCTTGGAAATAGCAGGGTGGCTCGTATCGACCACGTCTCGGCTTTTGAGTGCTTGTCGTGAAAGGCGGCGAAGCCGGACGAGGGTTTAAACATGAAATGCAGTTGCTGTTCCATACAAGGGGTGATAGCAATCAAAGCTGGTTTATGCTTTAATCTGAGCGGATGAGCAATTAACACACTTACATAACGTAACATATTTCTGTTTTAAGCTGAGCGGATGAGCTAGGCTCCTGTTTTAATCTGAGCGGATGAGCTAGCCTCCTGTTTTAAGCTGAGCGGATTAGCTAACCTCCTGTTTTAATCTGACGGGATGAGCAGGCTCCGATTAGATTTCTACATGAGGTCCTGCACCACACCCTACTTTCCGCTGAAATCTCCTCACTCGGTATGTAGCGTCCGCAGCGCACGGCGCGACCCCGCCCGGCCAGGTCCGCCCGGCTTCGTTCGACGGCGCTTCGGGCCGGCACCTTGTGCCTGACCGACGCGGCACGCGCTGGCTATGTCCCGCAGCTGTAAATCACTCGCCGCGACTGCCCCTGACGTGACGTCACGCCACCCGCCCGGGGCGCCCGACGGTTCGCGGGGGGGGGGGGGGGCGCCGCAGGGGGAGGGATAGTCAGCCAACGCCCGCGTCGATGGTACCCCATGTGGCAGGGGCGGAGGCAGGGCTCACGACCGGGTGGCGGGCGCTCCATAGCCGAGTGGCAGGCGCTCCATAGCCCGGGTGGCAAGCGCTCCTCGGCCCGGGTTAGCAAGCGCTCCATAGACCGAGTGACAGCCGCTTCATAGCCCCGAGCGGCAGCCGCCCATAGCCGGGTGGCAGGAGCTCCATTGCCCGAGTGGCAGGCGCTCCATTGACCGATGTGGCAGGCGCTCCATAGCCTGAGTGGCAGGCGCTCCATAGCCCGGGTGGCAGCCGCCTCCATAGCCCGGGTGGCAAGCGCTCATAATCCGAGTGGCAAGCGCTTCATAGCCCCGGGTGGCAGGCGCTCCATTGCCGGAGTGGCAGCCGCTCCATAGCCCGGGTGGCAAGCGCTCCATAGCCCGAGCGGCAGACGCTCCATATGCCCGAGTGGCAGGCGCTCCATAGCCCGAGCGGCAGGACGCTCCATAGCCCGGGTGGCAAGCAGATGCTTTCTCAGAGCCTTCCAGCGGAAAATGTGGCAGTACATGAATGCATCGCGAGGCGAGGTGCCTTCTTGGTGATGAAGGTCAGTCCAATGCTTCATTCATGCAATGCCACTGCCAGTAACCTTCAGGCAGCAGCGGGGTTACGAGAAGTGTTTTCCCAATCGAATGGACTAATTGACGGATAGAAGTACCTTCTATAACAATTATCACACCTTACGCACGCAAAGCAGTTGAAATCTGCGATAAAGGCGAGCGTTGTACGCATCATGGCAAGGATCCGCATAGTGTGACGTGCCCACAGATGACGTCATTTACGACCTGTCGTGCGCATGAATGCGTGGGGATCGGCATGCAGTTAGCATGCGTGATGAATGTCTGTGGTATTCCTGGTGCTGTAGGATTCAGTTGTTGGTTAGGCGCTCTGTTGCAGTGGCCAGACGAAAGTTACATGGTTGCAACCTGCCCTTTCTTATAAAAGCACGTTATATAGCGTTACATAGCATAACCTATGACTGCACACCGACCCAAAAAAATGTACTGAATGCTTGCATGGGTGGGTTTTGTGCTGCTGGAACTCGCCATGCGGAGCATGAAGGTGTTTTATTTGAACCCATTATCCACAGCAAGCCGATCCCGTGTATTGAACAGTTTTGCTTGCGCGCTATCGGCCAGACACGACTGCGGACTTAAGTGTCATTCAGTACCCTAGCGGGGTCGCCCGGGTCGGCCTGAACCCGTTCGCTCAGCTGCCAGCAGACCTGTGCTCATCAGTGGGTCAAAACGGCCCATTCACCCCACGGCCCGGACCCATTATCTCCGGACTTCCAGCCCAGCCTTCCAGCCTCCCTCCAAGTCGCAGAAGCAGACCCAGACTGCTGCATAGCAATGCTAACAGCGCGCCACTGCTGCTGCTCCCAGATTACGGCTGCATTACCGTCCAAAACAGCTAGTGCGGCGCACGGCCCCGCCAGGTCCAAACAAAGCCCTGTTCATTAGCCGTTTTTCATTTAATCAATCCGGTTAGAGCCCAGCACGTCAAGAGCTTTGAGTTTGGCTCAGTGGCAATGAATAGGAGGGACTTTTATGCCCTGGCGTCTATCGCAAACGACCCTTTTCTGAGCTGCGCTAATGGGTATTATTGATATAGTATCCGCACCCCGTCTGTAACCCAGTGGCCAGGAAGCCAAATTAATCGATACCGAGGTCCACGATCCGCTCGTACCTAGTATTTGCTGACCAGCTGTTGCCCTTTCCCACCTCACGCGGCATTTATCGAGCCTCGCCGGGGATAACAGCTTAAGCGAAATGATGCACTCATCAAAACTAAAGCTAATGTCCTGGGCTTTTACATCCCACATTGGAGCCATGTGGCTGGTTTAGTTAGCCCTCGCAGCATCCCGACAGCAAGACCTCGCGGCAGATTCAAGCTTTTCACGCCGAATTTTATGGTTTTGGTCCGAAATGATGATTTTTTCGACTGATCGCACATCGCACAGATCGATGAGGATGATAAATTGTGGGCAAAAGAATCAAAAGACGTTTGTAAAGCTACATAAACCTTGACAACTACTATCACGGCATTTCACGATCTTTTTCAGGGTCGCAGAGGGTAACGAATGCAATCCCCGGCTAGTGGCTGCACTGGTAATTTGTTGGTCAAAAGTGACACCGAACCGATGTGAACGAATGAATGCGCATAATGCACTCCACTATGCATAAATGTTTGCCACATCGCACGGGTGGTACCATGCGAGGGGTCTCCCCATGCCCTACTATCGTTGCCAAGTTCGCTGGGCCACTGTCTCTGCGTCAGGCGAGGGAAAGGCCAGCACCAGCTGACGCAACCCCAGACAGGGTCGTTTGCCGCGGACGGCATCGGCCGAGATTGCAGATTGAGCCGTAAGGAACCAGCTGAAAATTATTTTATGTGCGCTGGATTCCGTCTGGTATTGCAAAAGGGGAAATTGGACCATACGTGATTTTTTATCCGCGATGGACCCTACATCGCCTGTCTTTTTATTCTACTTGCAGTTATAATATGGGAGGAGACGGAGAAGTGGAGGCTCGTAGATTGCCCAGCCTGCAGACGAGCAGTAGAACCGCGGGCGGTGCGGTGAAACGAAAAGACACGCTTAAATTAAACCACGTTTATTTACTAGATTGTCCATGAAGTCCATTCTGCTCAGTGCTGCAGACGTCACGTTCTCCTGGCATTGCATGCCTGTCAAATGACGCTGCAGCTGGCGACCTGTGCGCAATCATCGTGGCTTGGGTACACAATTACACACAGAGATGGGTGGGATATAAATTCACTTGTCTCAAACGAGGCAGTTCGCTATCCTAATTGAGTGGGATAGGGATTCACTCAAATGCTGGATACCGTTGAGCGATCATAAAATATGGGGATAACGAAAGTTTTCATTCTCCTGAATATAGAACAAAGTCAAATATCATAACGAGTATGTTCTTAGTGTTTCATCAAAGAATACTGAACATGTTCGGGAATTTAAGATCCCACCAAAGAAGGCTCACCAAATGGGTCTGTTAGTGTCCACGAACAAACAGCAGACATTTATTCCAAGCTCCAACAGCAAGTCCTAGAGTCTGGGTCGGCAACCATTTCTACCTGTATGGCATGAAAGTAAGACTGGTGATGACCCAGTTCGTGCCGGTTCCTACGAGGCAATCCAAGATAAGTCCAAAGTTTCTGTTTGCCAGCATCTCACCCAGCCACTTTCACCAGCACCCTCACCACACAACAGCGGTCTCAGCGCGACCCGAACCAGCAGCAGTCTAGCCCCTCAGTGCGCCTGCGAATCTCCTCCGGCTCGTGACTCGTGACCCGTGACTCGTGACTCAGCCCTCCCCCTCCCCCCCCCCCCCCACCGTCTCCGGCGGCCGCCATCCGCCCCGCCCGAGCCGAGCGAGCGATCGTTGTGCTTTCCAGCGCTCTGTCCCCATGGCGCGAGTCCCATTATGGGGCTGCTTTGCTGTTTACGACCAGGCAGCTGGAACGTAATGAGAATTCAAAGCATTTGATGTCTGATGAACGGACGACCAATATTGCACCACGTGGCGCGACGGCGTCCAAACGACGGTCGTTCGAAACGTTTCTGCGGATTCTAGAGATCTTGTTGCCATTGTGCGACTGTCACGGTCTCAGAGCCTGGGAATGTTGTGGACATACCCCGTACGCCTCTGTCTAACGCCTTCATAGTATAGACAATGCCAACCATCAAATGCCAGGTCGTTTGTAACTGTGATCTACTCGCTGCTTTGGTTTTGCCTTGCGCTGGATTTTGTGTCTCGCTGTCAGTTCCATGCGAGTTGGGCGAAAGACTCGCATTTAGGACACGCTCACATGTTGACAGCCCGTCATTTGATTATATGTTCTGTACAACCCTGGAAATAAAATAGACGCCAACATTTCGTAATCTGTACATCTCTTTGAATAAAAAAATGCAATAAACGACGGAGGAACCATTAAATTTACGACACCCCAGTTGTAGTTCGACACCCCAGTTGCAACAACTGCCGACCTTCTGTCGTTGCGCCCCTGCCGACCTTCCGTCGCTGCACCCTTGCTGACCTTCCGTCGCTGCGCCCCTGCCGACCTTCTTTCGTTGCGCCCCTGCCTCCGATCTCCCCTGGGTGTGCCCCTGACTTCGGCCGCGGCCAGAGCTGCGCATAACCCCCTACTCCGCCTGTGCTTGCCTGTGACCGGGACCACGTGTGACGTCACCTCTGCTCTCCCCTGGCTGCACCCCTAACTGTGCCCCTGGGCACGTCTCTGGCCTTGACCCCGCTGGTTAGGCCCAGCTGGGTCATGACCTTTGTCTTGGCCCGGCTGGATGCGTCTCTGATCATGTCCCTGATATTGACCCCGCTGAGTGCGCCCCTTACCTTGGCCCCCGCTGGTTGCGCCCCTGACCTTGACCCCCGCTGGGTGCGCCCCTGATCACGCTCCTGACCTTGACCCCCGCCTGGTGCGCCTCTGATTGAAACACCACTTGACGGCGCCCGACCCCGACAGGTCATCAGCTGGACTTCGTGGTGGCCGAGACGTACGGCAGGGAGAGCGAGAGCCTGCGCCAGGTGGTGCGCCTGTGGAACAGGAACGTGTCGGCCTACATCGGTCCGCAGGAGACCTGCGTCCACGAGGGCAGACTGGCGGCCAGTCTCAACCTGCCCATGATCTCATACGTGAGTGGGCCCTGATAACCAGCGGTCCGCTGTGTGTGTGTGTGTGTGTGTGTGTGTGTGTGTGTGGGTGTGTGTGTGTGTGTGTGTGTGTGCGTGTGTGTGTGTGTGTGTGTGTGTGTGTGCGTGTGTGTGTGTGTGTGTGTGTGTGTGTGTGTGTGTGTGTGTGTGTGTGTGTGTGTGTGTGTGTGTGGTGTGTGTGTGTGTGTGTGTGTGTGTGTGTGTGTGTGTGTGTGTGTGCGTGTGTGTGTGTGTGCGCGCACAGCGTTTCGCCTGGGCCGGTCGGCGTTGATTCGCTTGAATGATTACCATACTGAGCCTCGACACTGGAATGATCTATACGCAAACATGATATAAATTGTATATACGCGAGTGTGATACCTGTCTGGTCGTGGCCTGCCCGTGAAAATACGTGGCATCGGTAAGGACGGTGAGCTGTTGACATAAGGTCTTACGTCCGGTGTAAGGTGCATAAACTCCCATCCGTATGTACTCAGCATTCTCCGACATCCTCGACGTGATCATTTCTGAGGTAGGAGGCAATGGCAATGCAGCGCATACATGCTATGATGATTTCTTTTTCAGCAGGTGAGTACAGTCTTAAGCCTTAGTTGCCGTAGAGGCCGGACTTTGTCAGCTGATGCATTCAACCTCCCCTCTCGGCCATGATACACGGTGTTTCACTTGAAATATAAGCGTTGAAAAGAACGCGATTTGTATAAAAGAACATTTGTTAACATATTTATTTATGTCACAGATTTTTGAACGCTTGGTTTTTGTTTTCTATGTTCAGCTTCAGCCGCCAAGCGAAGCGTTTTCATGACAGCTGCCAGAACGCGAACACACTTCTCCAAATTCCAGCACGATCTACAGTTGCAACGGCTGGAGATTAAATCCTACCATGCCTTCCCTGTTTCCCGCCCTGGTTACCAATAAATGCACTCATATTTCATCAGCGCGGGTGCTGGCAGGATAAACAACTTCTAGAGAAACTGGAGCGTGTAGGGCGGTATGAAGGCGCGGACCCGGCCACTCCATCCCTCCTTCACAAGACTTCTGAACGTTAAGATGCTGCCTGAAGCCGGTTGCTCTTAAGTGGATTGCCCTGACTTCAGGCAATAAAGGCAAGAGGCATAGGCACAACCGGTCAGAAGCCTAGAATTTTGACCATTGTCTGCTGAATGTCATGCATACAGAATGTGTGCGATTAACGATGTTAGTATGTACAAACGTCGTCGTTAGTCTCGAACCACTTGTTTGTTGTCATTTTAAGGAGTTCGTTGAATTGTAATGTGCTTATTGGCGGTCGCCAGAAGACCATTCCTCTCTACCCGTTCTTCTTTGCCGGTTTACCGCAAGCCGGTCTGCTTTTCCCCGGGTACAAAGTTTAGTTGGGTTGAATCTTTCTTTTCCAGCATTCACTCGACCGCTTGCTCCTGTAATCAGATCCCTTCGACGTTTTAATCAACGGTCTTCACCGTGTTTGTCGCGGATCCCTAGCCCACAACCGTAGCTGTGATGCGGTGCGCGAAAACACGAGCCAGGGCACGCACCGCTCTGCCACTACACCAGGTATGCCGCGACAAGTCACCCGCACTGGACGATATCACTGACCATGGCTCCACACCGCCAGACGCCATCCGCCCTCCCCAGTCTGCGGTGGTCTTCCATTCTCCTTGCAGAGGCGCCTAGTGTGCCTGCGACCAGGCTTCATTCTCCAGTAAGCTCAGCACGACAGCTAAGAGTGATCGCTGAGTCGTCATCGCGTCACGTTGAAGGATGGGGCGCATTCTAGTCACGTCCGCTCCATGCGACGCCATGGCATAGGGCCATGTTTAGGGCCATGTTGCTGATCGTCTTGATGAGTTGGAAGGCGGGCATCCCACGGCCCCAGGTGGTGCCGACACTGGTCAAGGCGTTCAGCTGCGTTCCAAACGAACAAAACCGACGCACCGTGGACTTCAAAGGCTTGTTCCTGGCTTTTCTTTAAATGAAAGGCTAGACGGCTCTCGATAATTCTTGTCACATTTTCTCTCTGGCAAGGCAACATCGCTTCAAATGTTGGAAAACATTTAAACCAGACCTACCAACCAGAGGGCATTATCCGGTGGGAATGTGAAGGGTAATTAGGGAACTCCTCAAGCCGAATTTAGATGTCGGCAAATAAGAGCCCAGGACCTTAGCCGTGCAGGCAGTGCCATCAGGTAGACCCTGACTGGAAGGTGATGTGGTCACGTGCGCTGAACCAAACGTGTCTGCTGTGGTAGTTGACAGCAAGGGAAACTGAACAGATAAAGCTGAAAAATCAGGAGCAGAGGGCCTTTCTTGGTTATATCTGGGAGGTGTTTCCACTGGCATAGAGTCTTCGACAGGAGTGAGATGCCGCAAGTTAAGTTCTGTGATTCAAGAGTTTTTATTTTTTTGCTTGCCTGTTTGTTTGTTTTTTTGTTTTTCGTTGTTGTTTTCTTTTCCTTTTTTGCTGGTCGGCTGTCCTGCGTCGAATGGGCGCCGACTCGAACCTCTGTCCGTCTGGGCCGGCTGTCCCCCGTCGGACGGGCTCCTTGTCGAACCTCTGTTCCGCGTCGGACGGGCTCCTTGTCAAACCTCTGCCCCGCGCCGGACGGGCTCCTTGTCGAACCTCTGTCCCGCGTCGGACGGCCCGTGTCCTAACCCCGGATTGTCGCATAGAGCCTCTGACACCCTGAGCAGGATTAATGTTCCGCGGCGGTCCCGCTAAGTGACTAACCGGTGCTGGTGTGCGGAGAGGTCGGTCAGCACTGGGGGGCGGAGCAGGGAGCCACGCGCGCCGCGTGCCGAGTGGGAGGGTAACGGCTCTGCCGGACCCGGGCCGTCGTCACATCTCACACAGCACAGCATGTAAAGTCGGCGCAATGTATCGGCTGGGAATGGGCACGGTGCAGCTGTTTGAGCAGCGCTGGGCTCGGCATCTCACGCGTGACGGTTCATCAAAAATGCGTTTGTACAGGTGCGGTGCCTATTAATATAAGGAGTTTGTTGCTAGTCTCCCCCCCCCCCTCCCCCAGCGCACCTCGACTGCAATGACTGGCGCTGCGGGTGTCTGTGAATACCCGCAGGGCCGGTCAAAACCTTTTCTTGATATCTCGTTATGAGTACCCTGGTGCATTCGTATTCGTGCGGAAGCATAGTGTGGACGTGTATACAACCGTGCGCTTGCCTTACATGTGTGTGGTAAAAGTGGAGATGATCGGGCTCTTGGCCCATATTACAGAGAGCGCTTCGTCTGCCTGCCGTGATTCAACAAAAATGAAAAAATAGCCCAAGTATGCTTAACCAAACCGTTAATATTTGGGCCAATCGCATGCATACCGGTATGGTCCCGAAAATTTGAAATTGTTTTGATGTGACATCCCAAAGCCTGTAGGTAACTAAGCGGCTCATGTGACAACCCAAAGCCTGTAGGTAACCAAGTGGCATCATGTGCGTACGCATTAGAATGTGATCCAGCCGGGGGCGGGGGGGGGGGGTGGCAGTCAGGAGCGCAGTGTGCCAGGGCGTGGGGGGAGGGGGGCAGCCGCTGGTCCTTGCTGGGCCTTCCGGCAGAAGCGGCGATCCCAGTGTTTTAACTGCTTTTCTTCCAAAGCTTGGTTCGGAAGTGTTAGCTTTCCTCCTTGTTGCCATCGATCGATTGTATCATAAATGGCTGAAGTTTCGTGCTTACATCAGGTAAGGAGCATCACCTGGAAGTAACGAGCAGCTCCAAGCCTGTCATCATAGCTGCTGCACGGAGAGCAATTACTACAAACATTTTATTTGCCCGCTGAATTGGAGCCATCTGGAGACGAATTGTTTGCCGCATTCGCAGGGATCCTCTCGCAGAGCCTGCTTGCCCGCCTTTACGTCAGATGGCAGCATCATCTAAACAGCATGACCGCGCAAACAGTGTTTTCACTGGTAGTTACAAAGAGGAAACGTTATGAGCAGCTAAATGATTTTTTGTGCAAATGAAATTAAACTTGACCAATTATACCTTACTTGCATGAGTAAGCCATTGGGCCATAATGAGTTTGTTATCTGCAGGCGATAGTGCCGGGAGGTCAGATTGGGACGGTCAGGTCAAAATGCTTCATTAACCTCTGATGACTTTAAAAAGGTGTATGAAAGGAGTATGGGTGAAAGATGTATGAGTGAATAAACATGCAATGCTTCCGGAATTTAGTTTGCTAAGGGCTAGAACTGAAGGTCAGCTTAAGCCGGTGACTGATGTAGGTTGCATGGAAGTAAAACAGCTGGTTGAAAAAAATTAACAAGACCCAGGTGAACAAGGCCACGTCAAAACGTGTCAGTATCACCAGTTATATATCGAACCACGCCTTGAACCGACATTTCTCATCTAAAAGACGCGTTGGTCAGTAACCTGATCAAACCTTGGCTTAGAGGATCGCATTATGTTCAAAACTGTATGTTGCAGGAGTTACTGGAAGCGTACTGAAGCTACTGCAAGTGGGCCTGCAGCTTTGTGAAAAACAACGTTTGATGTGAATGCCCGCCTACATCCTACATTTTACCAGAACAAATTTCGTTTAAGCCCAGCCAATGCGCGCGTTAAATAGTATGCAGTGAAAAGGAGGCATGTTATCTGTTCAGTTTCCGCTGCGTTTGACCTCCGTTGACCTCCATGGCGACAAAGCCATGTGACAGCATCGACCTCAACCGGGCGCAGGCACCGGTGGATTACGTGGTCTAGTGGCATTCGCGGAATCATTAGAAACAAGACACATCATCGTAAATAAATAGTGTTTGTGGGCACATACCCATTGGGTTCCTTTTCTGGCAGTCGCGGTCGCCGCTGACTGACTGCTGTCCTCTGCGCCGGCGTAATTATGGTGACACGCGACATCACACCTGGGTTCCTTGACCTTCTGGAAAGTCGCCCGACTAAGAACTGATGCGGCTGAGGCACGCCACTGATGACTACCGCGGTCAGTGGTCGGTGTCCGATTTCTGGTCTATCGGCCGCAGTGAGATCACCAGCCCGCGCGTGATTGTCACGGTCGTCCACTGAAACTGACTCGGGAGATCGGCGTCGTAAGTCCCATCGACCAGCAGACCACGGCACTACTTCTGCCCGTGAACTGCCGTCCGGCGGCCACAGCGACGGCTGCTAGCCCAGAGCACTTCGTGTCCTCGTGTCATGCCTGTCAAGACAGCCCACCGTCGGCCCGCGGTCAACAAACATCCTCGTGTCTGCGGCGTCAAACTGTTGGGAGCGCTCACGTCATTGATCACGGCAAACTGGCTTCAGCCCACCTCCTGAAGACTTTTCAGTGACGTCCAATGCGCTTGCCAGTTCGCCTCTTCAACTAAGTTTGTACACCATCTGGTCCACTGCGGCGCATTGGGAGCGCTGCTCGCAATAGCCAGCTCTATAGTGATGCGCTGGTCTACAGCTGCAAAGTGACTGAATTCTTCTTCTCCGCTAGTGAACCCTATGGCCCCCTCCCCACTCACACACTTGATGGGACGAAGCGCGGTGTTGTCTTTCCCTCCAGAAACTGCTGTGGCTTAACACTTGAGTAAGCAGGAGTCATTATTTTAAACCTCGCCATGATTCGCCGTCTTCATGACGCGGACTAAGACTGACTGACTAGTTCTGCCGTTTCGAAACTGAGAAAGATAGAGACTCGCAAAATAATCAGCGTATTTATCAGTTTTATGTTCTTAAGTCATTAATGAACTCCACCAGGTTGAGTCAAATGTCAAATTTTTCTGGCAATCAAACCTTATCAGCTTAACACGCTCATATGTGCTGTGCTCCGCAGTGACACGAAACTTAACAGACTTGTTCCTTGCTCAATTCTGAGGACCAATACATTTAGTTGCATGCGTTTTGGCCACTTAGAAACAAGAAATGCTAGAGATACGTTTTTGATTTCAAAACACATGCACAATGGATTCCCTGGAGGCAACCGGAAGTTTTGATGCGATTGCTCGACATGCGATTGCCGGAAAGACATGTTCAGCAAACCTTGGGGGTTGCATCGACCACTCTCGCTTCCCCTTATCAGAGCGTTGGTTAAAGGGAGTGTTCCATATTTGTATGGGGTTTTGAACGGAAAAAACATCTTGAAGATCATTCTATGTTGTTTACAGGTACACCCTTCTACAGACCTAAATCCCTCCAATTGCTGAGTTATAGGCCCGCGAAAATATCCAGACTATTTCGGGTAGACTATTTCAAGGCTATCCAGGCATCCATGACGCCATAATAATGTCATTCAAATCCTGACATTTCATTAGCCATGCGGCAATCAAGGCCGAGAAGAATATCATTGCCGAGTTGTTCATATCTGGCGCTCGTGAGTACGATTTCCAAATAAAACGGCCCTCAATTGGCTCCCAATGTTGTGCAAGATACGATAACGTAACCAAACAATGACGCGTTGAAAAGCATTTACTAAACAGAGAAATTGTGTTGTCTAGAGCAGTCTTTTCCACCCAAAAGCATACTATTGGGCATAAGTCAGCATTGAGACACGTGCGTCCCTTTAAGTCCCTTTAAGCTGTGAATTCACGACTGTGGAGATGCCCACAAAAGAATCCCAGTTCACGTTGGCCACAAAGCGCAGCCACAGCATGAACGGTCGAAGTTCGTACCCCTCCTCAAGCCAGTACGGATGACGAGATGTGACGGTCGCAGGTCATGTACGCTGACAAAACTCCACCCCAGCGGAGCAAACCCGCCTGTTTTGCCATCCGCGTCTGCGGTGTGTACAAGTGAGATGTCCCTGGTGCTCCAATTAACCGGCAGCAGGTGCAGGCTCAGAGAATCACAGTTGACCCCCAGTTGAACTCCAGCTGGCTCAGCAAGTCCCAGTGGACCCTCAGTTGAGCCCTAGCAGGCTCAGGGAGCCGCAGTCAACCCCCAGTTGATCCCCAGGGGCTCAGAGAGTCCCTGTTAACCCCTCAGTTGACCCCCAGCAGATCCAGGGAGTCCCAGTTAACTTCCAGTTAACTCCTAGCAGACTCAAGAAATCCCAGTTGACCCCCAGCAGGTTCCTGGAGTCACAGTTGACCCCGCGCCCCAGCCATACGGGAGCGGTCTGGGCTACGAGGCTGCTGGCACGGCCGGACAATCCGATAAACCATTGGGGCCGGTCGATTCAGTGTCTTCTCTGATTCTACGCTTACCTGCGATTACCTAGAGATTTTCTCGGCTGATCCGGCTCAGCTGATGAAGATTTGATGGTGTGCGGATCGACACAATTCACGGAAAAAAGCTTAATATTCGTCTCTGCGGGTGGACCACCCTGCTGTTTAATAATTTTCAGATACCTTAGGTTGATGAATCATTGCACTGGTCGCCTGAAGCCCAACAGCAGTGGTTGAAGACAGCTGACAGCAAACAGGTAAAAAGTGGCATACCAAGAGCCAGAGGTTTGTTCTGGCTCATGCGAGGAAGTTTTCCAGCTGGCCAGGCCACAGCACGTGCGCAAATGACATCTTCCTGACCAAGTTTCTCATCCTGACATGCCCGTCACCGTCAGCTGCAGACCTTAAAGGTCAACCGTCCCTTGTCTGGCCCGGCAGTTTTGCACCAACTTCGAGACGTCGGACAAGAAACTGTTTCCGACGTTCGCGCGCACCCGACCGCCTGACACTCAGATCTCCAAGTCGGTGTTGTCGCTGCTGCTGCGGTACAGCTGGATGAAGGTCGCCTTCCTGTATAAGGACTCGCCAGGTGAGATGGATGACCGGACCTGACCTGACCTCGGCCTTGACCTCAAACCTCGACCTGTGACCCGGCGATTCGAAACCGGTAACCGGTTGTGGCTAGCTGCCTTACTTGGCTTGACCGACATTTCCTAGCCTGACATGACCTGATCTGACCTGACCATTTGACCTGACCTGACCTGACCGATCTTCACCCGGCCTCAGCTGAACAAAATAACACGGCACCACTCGGGGCAGTCCGCCAGCTGCGGTGCAGAGGAGCAACCCTTTGACCAGGACCTGGTATCCCGGAGTCTAATTCCGTGGCTGGAAAAACTTATCCGGATGCGAAAATGTCTGACTATTCCGTAACTTACCTGCGCTGCGCTTGCATATAATACCGCGAATGTCGCGTTCTAGGAAGGCGCGACAACCACAGTGTCGCTTTTCTCTGTTCTCTCGAACACTCGTAATAACATCTAGCCGTGCGTTATGTAAGGCAACGATTATCGGAACCGTTTTAACGATTATCGGGACTGTTTTAACTATATCGGCACCGTTCTTGCTCTGCATATTCCCCTGTCGGTGATGCAATGCCCCGAAGGGCGCGTTTGAGACTGTTTGAGCGGGTTCCCAATCTCCATTTTGGAAAATGACATGGAACCTTAATCATCAGACATTTGACAAGTGTATTAGGGTAATTCACACCGCATATTTGGTGATTTTAGCCCATATTCGGAAGAAAACATGCAAAGCAAAACGCGAAGATGAACACGAGGGACACATGCATGCAAGTTAAACGCGTGCATAGATGTAGCACCAACCTACATGCATGCATGCGGGACAACCTAAGCTGCTGCGGAGTGTTCCCGCAAGTGGTTCTTTAACGCCCGTAGTTTGGCTGACACCTGGGGTCAGCTGCTGCGGAGTGTTCCCGCAAGTGGTTCTTTAACGCCCGGGGTTTGGCTGACATCTGGGGTCAGCTGCTGCGGAGTGTTCCCGCAAGTGGTTCTTTAACGCCCGGGGTTTGGCTGACATCTGGGGTCACCTCAGCTCCCAGTCCCCTGGCAGGGATGATACAGTCATCTCGCCCAAAGTTTTGACGCATGACACGTCAATCCAGGGCGCTGAAGTGAATCATGTGAATCAATGCAGACGTTGATGTGAATCATGAGCGCCCGAGTGCTTGGCTGCGGGCCGCTTACACGACGCTCGACGAGAGTCGGAGCTTGTTTTCGAGCGTTCATGACTGCCGCCACGTTTTGATTTAGCCGTGTGTTGCCAAGGAGTGACGCCATGAAATGATGTCACGCGAGAAAAACCCCACGTTTCCGCCGGTGGTGACTGATTTGAAAAACGCCAAAGCGCTCCCGCTGCCAAATGTCAGCTGGTCTGTTTCGTCACGACTTGGCGCACGCGTGAGGGAGGGAATGGAGCAGCAGCTGACTTTTACGAACATTTGGGCCCACGTGTGAATGTTAATGTAAGGCAACGGGGATGATCGCAACACCCAATGTCCGTAACCACCAATTCCTAATAACACCCAATGTTCGAAGCACTTAACGTAGCACAACCACTGATGAAGTCATAACATCCAATGTAGCATAAACCCTAATAAATCACGGCTTCCTGTGGGCTCGGCTCAGCGGGGATGCCAAGCGGTAGCTGATGTGTTATGATAGCGCACGTCAGGAGCGCACGTAGGCTATCGTGATGACTGGGCTGGGGAGGTCACAACTCAAAGTAGTTGACTGGAAGCCTGCTTCAGCGGGCCGCAGGCGCGTGAGATTTGTTGCTCAAAACCACATCTGACGTAGTCGTTGTGCTTATTTGTGTGTGCTTGCTAATTATCCTAGCATTAGCATTTAGGCACTTCTTGTGTGCTGTAATGCATCTACAATGCGTTATAACGCATCTATAATGCATTACAGCTATCAATTAGCACCTGGGAGCCAATATGTGCCTACGTTCACATAGAGTTCGCCTCCGGCCAACTCTATGTGAAGCGCTGGCTCACGCATGCCAGTGAACCCTGGGGACTCCATGCTCCGAGTATGGATTGGCCGTGGTGCCGGGTGTTGGCAGATTTCGCGTATTGACTGTTCCCTGTGCTCACGTCTGTCTCTAACGTCGTGCGATGTGCACGTGACGTGTCGATGTTTCCGTCACTTGTCGTGGTGGCCAGCTCTCGGCGTGGCGAGTTAACCCTCCCGTGGCGGCACGTGCTGACACTCCCGTGGCGGCCCGCGTTGACCCTCCCGTGGCGGCCCGCGTTGACCCTCCCGTGGCGGCACGCTCTGACCCTCCCGTGGTGGCCCGTGTTGACCCTCCCGTGACGGTCCGTGTTGACCCTCCCGTGGCGTCACGCTCTGACCCTCCCGTGGCGGCACGCTCTGACCCTCCCGTGGCGGCACGCTCTGACCCTCCCGTGGCGGCACGCTCTGACCCTCCCGTGGCGGCCCGTGTTGACCCTCCCGTGGCGTCACGCTCTGACCCTCCCGTGGCGGCCCGTGCTGACCCTCCCGTGGCGGCCCGTGTTGACCCTCCCGTGGCGTCACGCTCTGACCCTCCCGTGGCGGCACGCTCTGACCCTCCCGTGGCGGCCCGTGTTGACCCTCCCGTGGCGGCACGCTCTGACCCTCCCGTGGCGGCACGCTCTGACCCTCCCGTGGCGGCCCGTGTTGACCCTCCCGTGGCGGCACGCTCTGACCCTCCCGTGGCGGCACGCTCTGACCCTCCCGTGGCGGCCCGTGTTGACCCTCCCGTGGCGGCACGCTCTGACCCTCCCGTGGCGGCACGCTCTGACCCTCCCGTGGCGGCCCGTGTTGACCCTCCCGTGGCGTCACGCTCTGACCCTCCCGTGGCGGCCCGTGCTGACCCTCCCGTGGCGGCCCGTGTTGACCCTCCCGTGGCGTCACGCTCTGACCCTCCCGTGGCGGCCCGTGTTGACCCTCCCGTGGCGGCACGCTCTGACCCTCCCGTGGCGGCACGCTCTGACCCTCCCGTGGCGGCCCGTGTTGACCCTCCCGTGGCGGCACGCTCTGACCCTCCCGTGGCGGCACGCTCTGACCCTCCCGTGGCGGCCCGTGTTGACCCTCCCGTGGCGGCACGCTCTGACCCTCCCGTGGCGGCACGCTCTGACCCTCCCGTGGCGGCACGCTCTGACCCTCCCGTGGCGGCCCGTGTTGACCCTCCCGTGGCGTCACGCTCTGACCCTCCCGTGGCGGCCCGTGCTGACCCCGGCCGCGTGTTGCAGAGTCCGAGCTCGGCGCCATCGGCGAGACAATCGTCTCGGTGCTGCGGCGCGGCGGCGTGTCGCTCCGCCACGTGGTCACGTGGAACCAGACCTTCCACGTGGGGTACATGGACAACCCGTTCACGGATATCCTGCGCCGCACCAAGGATGACGTCAGGAGTGAGTCATGGCACGGGCTACAAGGCTAAGGCTAAGGCTAGGGCTTAAGCTAAGCCTAAAATACAAGCTAAGTCTCTAAGGTTCTAAGTCTAAGCTGGGTCTCAGGATGGCCTGGCCGTTGAAAACAGTTTGCACGCCGCAGTTTAAGGCGTGTCGCCGCACTGAGGTCGGCTGAGATCGTCTGCAGCCGTCGCTCATCCTCGCGGGAGTCGGTGCAGGCGAAAGTTGCTTGTGGAGGGAATCGAACCGGGACTACACGATCCACGTCTGATGCGCTCGTTACCAGTTCACTGGCGCTCTGACGTTGGAAGCTCATAGGAGCAAGTGATTGATGCCAGTGGAAGGATTTTGTTGGGTATTCGCTATCTCAGATGTATGCTTACCAAACTGTCCAGCTTAGCGTGCAGATGCTCAGCATATACGAACAGACATGCATGCACTGACAACGGGCACTAAGATGTGCACCAGACGACGCATGTATGCATGAGTTGGGAGGATGTGAGAGTGTCCACTAGTGCACTAGCACAAACATACGTCCACTAGTATGTGTGTTTGTGTGTGTGTATATGGATCACCATGGTATCAATTTAGTATGGGAAATGCACGAATATCTGCGTTGTCAGATGGGGGCTCTTATTCTCACAGTAATCAACATTCAGTGCACCAGGAGGCGCACATTACAGCTGCATCGATTATGGTCAGAATGAGAGTTCCCCACTCACGACGCCGAAACACCAGGAGCTCAATGCCCTTTTTCCTTATATCAAGTTTGAATTCCGTGTGGTGACATCCGAAAAAGCAGTGCTTACGCTCACGTTCTACATGGTAATATGCTGGCAGCATCCCGCGGTTAACCCCAGCAGAGCACTGCAACAACTCACATCACTGGAGACAGGGCATTTAAACCCATGACAATACAGATATCATGACTGCCGGGTCTGAATGGCCAGGAATTCGCAAGAATTTAACTCGGGATAGCTTGGCTCGAAAATGGCGAGGTAATTCTTACGGCGGTAAAGGATGACGTCGTGTAGGGAGGTGCTGTGACGTCATCTCACAGCTGACCAACATCTTGATCGTTATCTAAGCTTATTTTTAATGCCGAAGTGGGTCGGATGGCCAGTGTCTTGGCAGCTGAACCTCATTTGCTTTTAACTACGCTGACGTCTTAGCGTCGATCAATTAATCAAGTTAATGGTCGTTCTCTTCCCAATAAGACGCCCGGCTGGCCATATTGACTGTCTCATCACATGCATTTGGTCGTAGCCCAGGCTCAAAAGTCTGCACGATATAAATTTGCTGGTGAGAGAATACTTGGGAAACGCCCCTCCCCCTCCGCCCCAACCCTCTCTAGCCGCCTGACCGCTCATCACACCAAAAGCGTTGTCTCGAAATTATAAGCTGGTGAGATGAGGCCGGCAACGATCAGGCGATCAGCTGTTAACGCATTGTATTATGTGAAAATATAGATCCCACTGTAACCAGTCCCGGGTATGTATCTGCGGACGCTTTCCGCCTGTTATTTCCCAGCATTTCCTGGTCGCGTCACTGATCGGAATGGAACTGACGTTATCATTTGATGACGTCACAGATAGAGTGACTGTCATCAGTGCGCTCGTGAGCATTTCCGATGGCGCGGCTGGCTGAGCAGGACCAGCTTCGTTTCAAAACAACAAAAAAGTCAGCGGTGCGCAGTCGGTGGGGGTGGCGAGGGGGAGGGAGAATGCCTTTCAGGTCATGTTACTGCAAATGGGCTTTCTGAACTTGACGGTGTGTTGACATCTAACGCCAGGGAAACAAAACTGTTAAGAATTATGCAGCTGGTTTCGATAACGGCACGCAGCCGACACAACAATCCATTTACATTCATTCTCCTGACATTCCTTCTCCCGGTCATTCTACGAGGAAAGAGGTTATTAGTACTGTCTTTGTGGGGCGAAAGTTCAGCGTCGGCTCAGCGCTTTTGGCCGGCGCCTGTCATGGGTTGTCTCCATTCGTGCTGCGCCTGCCATGGGTTGTCTCCATCCGTGCCGCTGCACACCCGCTGGGCTTTCCAGGTTTTCTTCGAGCGCATTGCGTCGGATCCAATCTCCACGCGGTTTTTTAGCTCCCGTCTCTGGATCCGTACCAGGCCCCGCGTATATACATTTGCCTGCACCTATACCTTATATGCATATCGTATATATATATATATATATATATATATATATATATATATATATAGATAGATAGATAGATAGATAGATAGATAGATAGATAGATAGATAGATAGATATATATATATATATATATATATATATATATATACACCGCACCACCTCGCCACGCCCGTTACGACTCTCCCGCCCGCTGCCGAGCTTCCGGAACAGATAAACAAGCCGCTGTTCGCCGCCCCCGCACCACTAAGAAAACTTAATTAACGCGTTAACTCGCCGCGTGACGTCACGTGGTCAACTTGTTGCGCTTGCGCTTACGGGCCATCTATGATTTACTCCATCACAGTCTTATCGGTCCAGGCTATGTTTAACTTTCATATTTCAAAACGTTTTCGTCGCGGACGAAGTACGAGCGATCGGTTAGCTGGACGCTATGTTTGCAGCACGCTTCATCTGCCTGCGCTCATGCTCCACACTATCTGCCTATCAACGATGGTCGCTGGGATCTCCGCCGCAGAGGACGCTCGATAGACAATGAGGTTGCTGCTGTGAAAACAGCAATCATGCGCAGAACTCAGAAAGGCAATTGTCGATGAAAAATCACCGGACCGAAAAACAACAGCCGGTTGCCAAACTCAACAACCGGCTGCCAAACTTACAACAATCTGACCCGGCATCACGACCCCGGCGGCGCGGCTAGAGCCGACAGACTGTCACACAACGCCAGAATAACTAACACAGCTGAGCATTCTGCATGTCTTCCCTCACGCAATGAGATCACAATGTTTCTCACGAATGTCTGACGCCGACAGCTTCCGAATTCAGAATTGAGCCTCACGCCGAGCGGTTCAGGCGACTTTATTGTGTCGCAAAAGGCCGGGCGGCTGCTAAACCAATGTCGGGAAAACGCGCCGAGTACCGCTGGGCTTCGCTGCCAGCGCGACAGTATCGTCCCACTGTCGACTGTCGACAGACCAGGCCTGTCAACCGACCGCAGCAGGTCCTGGTGCAGCCTGCCACACAGTGTGTTCGTCGACCTTTTAGTCGGGAAAATGGGAGAGACAGAGGTGTGCTGCGGACCTTCCGACAGCCCGCCTCGCCACCAGAGCTGTGCACCTAGACATGTGATCCCTTGCCGTGTTCAGTTTCATTCTCGCTTCTCGATGATTCGTTGCTGTTGCTGCGGTTCGTTGCTGGAGCTCTTAGTACACCTTTAACTACAAAAAAACAGTCTGGGGAGAAACTTAACACGCCCAGTGCAAGACCCCGCAAAATCTATCGTCCAGGAGGGAGAGGGGGGAGGGCCGCATCACGCCCCACCCAACTATCTCAAGAGCCATCGCAGGTAGAGTAGCGCAGTTCAATGGTAAATGGGTGGTGTAAGAAACCATATTTCGTGGAAAATTTACGAACCTCGGTCAATATTTTCAAGGTCAAATATGGTCAAAAATGTCTCCCGGGCTGGCTGGCAGGGTGGGATGAGCGCGTTTGAATGTGCGCAAAATTATATTTACATTTGTATTTTCTGACTGAATCAGGAGAAGAACTCTATTAAATCGTGATAAATCACGATGATTAATTCGGATTTTGTGTCGCCTGATTCATGTTCATGTAGGACCACTTCACTCTTTCATTCATTCATTGGCACGCTTTTGTTGGCAGGGGCGGTCAGCTGCGGTCAGTTCTATCGCCACACATCACGCCAATCTATTCCATATGTAAATCGGTGTGATGGCCAGCCTGCCACAGAGCAGCCCTCTGTTTCCGCACACCACTATTCCTCCCACATTTATTTTCTCAACTGATCAGCCTAGTTGCTTCCATCTTCTGTTAGCGGGGGCCAGTACATGTGTGTGTGTGTGTGTGTGTGTGTGTGTGTGTGTGTGTGTGTGTGTAGTGTGTGTGTGTGTGTGTGTGTATGTGTGTGTGTGTGTGTGTGTGTGTGTGTTTATGTATATATTTATATATTATTTATTTATATATAACATTTATTATATATATAATTTATATATATTATTATAGATGTATAATTTATATATATTTTATATATACATTATTATATGCATATATTTAGATGTGTGTATTTCTGTACGCGTATATCTCTCTCTCTCTCTCTTCTCTCTCTCTCTCTCTCTCTCTTCTCTCTCTCTCTCTCTCTCTCTCTCTCTCTCTCTCTCTCTCTCTCTCTCTCTCTCTCTCTCTTCTCTCTCCTCCTCTCTCTTCTCTCTCTCTCTCTCTCTCTCTCTCTCTCTCTCTCTCTCTCTCTCTTCTCTCTCCTCTCTCTCTCTCTCTCTCTCTCTCTCTCTCTCTCTCTCTCTCTCTCTCTCTCTCTCTCTCTCTCTCTCTCTCTCTCTCTCTCTCTCTCTCTCTCTCTCTCTCTCTCTCTCTCTCTCTCTCTCTCTCTCTCTCTCTCTCTCTCTCTCTCTCTCTCTCTCTCTCTCTCTCTCTCTCTCTCTCTCTCTCTCTCTCTCTCTCTCTCTCTCTCTCTCTCTCTCTCTCTCTCTCTCTCTCTCTCTCTCTCTCTCTCTCTCTCTCTCTCTCTCTCTCTCTCTCTCTCTCTCTCTCTCTCTCTCTCTCTCTCTTCCTCTCTTTATCTATCTTGCTTTCTCTCCAGCCCCAGATGCTGATGCTGTACATGATTGCCTGTTGCAGTTTACGTGGTTCTCGGGGAGTACTACGAACACCGGGCCGTTCTTATGACGCTGCAGGAGCAGAACTTACTTCAAACCGGTGCGTCCATCGTTGCCGCATCTAACCGGTAGTGTGTAAACTGAGTTACCTGTGAGCCCTCCAGAAATCAGTGGTGGCAGCTTATTCGCTGAGCTTGAGGCGCGGGTACAAACACTACTTTCCTTGCGATGTAAATGTGTAGTTCTTCCAGCTCGGCTTTTCGTCATTTGTGAACCATTGCGTGGCACTGTTAAGTCCTTCCATCGAATGGTCTGTTCATGGTGTCTCTATCCCGCTGTGTGTTGTGTTGTGGTAGCCTGCGGTGCCCTGCTCTGGCCACTACTGAAACCCAATGTGATCACGGATTGATATGCAGAATAAGGCGTTCCAGACGGCCGTCCCTCGCGCGTCTTGCCGAGCGCTATAACTTCCGTTGCTGTTGTGCTCGTCAGAGATGTGACCTGGCCAGAAACTAACTGATGTCGCTGGGCCCCGCGTGCAGGGGAGTACTTTGTGGTCGGTGTGGACATCCAGCGGTATCAGAACGCCACCCCGCAGAAGTACCTGCGCACGCTGTTCCGAGAGGAAAGCCCCACCGACCCGAGGGCAGAGCAAGCCTTCAAATACTACGTTGGTTAGTGGCGGGTGATGCACCTGACTCTGCTGGGATGAGTTCAGAACAAAATAACTGCACTTACCACAGCAATACTTGGGGGCCTGGCACTGAAGCTTCCTCGTCTGCATGTGACATTTTGTCACGAAATGTCACCATGGGTTACTGATCTGTGATGACCTTGAAATGTAACCGGCTGATACCTGGGTGGCCTAGGTCAGGCACGTGCAGTTCGATATCGTTAAAGGCTCGACTCAGTATTTTGTCGCACCAAATGGTCAAATCATGTTGGGATACTGCAATGGCAATGAGAAAATTAATAGGCCCCCTAAAAACAAGGAAAGCTGGAAGATGGGCTAATTTATCCCGGATTTTTATCCTAACTAAAAGCCTTAACTAAAAACATAGGCCAAGAAAAACCTATTCAGAACTGCATATGCCATCTAATGTCTTTTCATTTTTCTCGCTGTCTCTACTCTGTCCTGAAGAAGCGCGAGAGAGGTTTCTGCCCCCCCCCCCCTTTCCTCCCCCCCCCCCCTCCGTCGTCAGCTGTAAGCTTGCGCGGAACGCTGTCAATGCGAGGGCTATAACGAGCCCCAATTCACCTTATCTCGTCGCCATTAAAGGCCGAGTAGTGGGGGCTGCGTCTTCGGAAACTTCCGGAAATTTCCGTTTGCACTCTCGCAATCAAACCGATTGCTTCGCAATCTCTTTTGCGGAACGACGCGCCGCGGAGCCAAGTCGGCGGTTGATTTTTCCAGCGATTTCTTCTGCGCTCGTGCTGGAGGCCGCTCTACTGCGCTACTTTGCTCAGCAGCTGAGCTTGTGCGGCCATAACAAGCGGCGAGTCAGACGCTGACATCACAGCCGCCGCAGGTGCCGACTCTGCAGCGGAGGGCTCTGTCAGCGGTTGGCTTCTCACTTCGCGACGCCTTCGCAATTGAGGATTACAGTGTCTCAGATTCTGGTAGGCCTTCTACCAGCAGGTCTTAGGACTGTTGAGAGTGTTTCAGGATTCAGCATGAGATTTGTTTTGTCTTTCCTGCGGAATGATAAGTCAACCGAATGGTATTCAGATTTCCAATCGCCTTCATGCAATACGCTATCTTCGCTTCAAGGGCCAACTGTGAGCATCCTAAAACATCACCTCCCCACACTGATATTACAGCACCAGTGTCAATTCGGTGCAACTGTGGCAGCATGTGTCACCCTGGCAGCTCCTGATAAGTCACCTTGACACCTGACCCCAGGCGTGATCGGGTCACCCACTATCGGGTTCGAGGTGCTGACCAGGCTAGTCAACGACTTCATGGAGCTGCCGCCCTTCAACTACACCAACATCCTGCGGGAGTACGGCGGCAACATGAAGGTGAGGCGACCGGCAGCCGCTCTGGTGATGATATGCTTTCCTTACGCGCCGTTAGAAAGCTCACCTTTCAACACCGAAAAAGTAGGCAACGTCAGCACGCCGTTCTTAAAAATGCACCGGGAGCGAGGGGCGACGGGACTCGGAGACGGCTGATCCAGGCTGTTTGTTGTTGATGTGCGCTCCCTGCCGTATTCGCCACGGTCGGCAGCTGCAGTGAATGCGAAAGTGAACTGCGATTTTGCGAACGGGTGGAGATGAGGTCCTACGAACGGAGGGACGAATTTCACAGATGGAATAGATGCTCGGAGTATCGTTCTGGTCTGGTGTGTTAGTTGCACGTCTGGTGTGCTAGTGTAGTTAACACTAGCATCGTTCTCGTCTGGTGTGTTAGTCTAACTAACGCATCAGACGAGGACGATAGATGAAACAATAACTTTAAAAAACGATATCACGATAACGATAGGATACGATGCGATAACGAAACGATAAAAACGATATCACTGTAAAAAAACGATATCATGTTAACAGTACACTGACGGGCGGCGGGATTTGACGCGATAGATGACAACACTGGAATATACTAGTTACATTGGATAAACATGTAACATCTTAAGACGATTGCAAGTGAAGAAATGTACACCAGTACTCTGGTTTGTATGAGTCTGTTCAGAAATCACCTGACCTCGTTCAGTCTTTGCACCGTTTCAAGGCGATGCCTTTTGGGCCGCTGTTTCGCTGAAGTGATTTGGAAGCACAAACTTATAACAAGCCTGAGTTTAATTCCCGGAGCGAAAGTTTAACTCCGATACGTAAGCCCGGATATGCCTCGATGTCAGGGTTTGCCGCCTCGACGAAGTCGACACACTCTTGGCGGCGTACCGTGGGCTCTGCCGGTGACTAACAAAGTCTTTGCGGCGTGCGTCAAAGCCTAAGCCACCAGGATTTCTTTGTGTTGAAATACCGTTTGACATTTACAATTTCATTGCGAAGTCCGCTAAACAAATTGGCAGGTACTTGGGTGCTGGCGGATAAATAAGACATAAATCTTGTTTAATAAATAGCTAGTTAAAAACCCCAATTGCAGTGCTGTGCACTTTTCCCTAAAAAACTGACTGTATTAATACCAGACCTATATCTATAGACCTTTATCTATGCTTTAGAGCTTTGGGAAATTTATCTATAGAGCTATAGACCAGGTTTTTAGAACAAAGGTGGCAAATTTGTAGTCTAAGTGGGATACATTTCACCAAGTTACGTGCACGTACAGTTTAATTTCGGCCTTTAGCGTGGCTCACACGCAAAATGTCAGCCGCGTGAGAATTAGCTTAAATTTACGTAGTGACTTCTAAAACGACACGGACGGTCGGTCCCCATCGCGTCGTTTATACAGGAGTTATATCCGTTTTGCTGTCCTTTCACTGGGCTGTTGCAGATCAGTTTTACTCGACAGTGGTTTCGCATCCTTATCAACTGTTGTGTAGTGGTGTTAGGCAGCACACTGGCGATACGTCCCCCCCCCCCCCCTCCCCCCCCTTCCATGCCCGCTGTGACGCCAGGTTTTCATCAAGATCCCCTAATATTAGCACGACTTTGTTTGCCCTCTACGTTTGACCACCATATCCAGTGTCGGATTTCGTTGATACCGGCCAACTGTTTCCCCTTCTCTCTTGCCTTGCAACATGCCTATCCGCGCTCCCTGTGGCGCCGCCTCCGTCAGCCGCCAGCAATGCAGTCTGCCCCAGGCCTCTTACGTCGTCTGTCACTGCTTCGCTGTCCTGGCAGATCCAGCTGCGAGTCTACGGCGCATGACCCGCGCCAGTGCCCAACCGCCGAGCCTATAGATCCGTTGAGAGCCCGTCCACCCACGCAATGACAACCGCCGTGCCTATAGATCCGTTGACAGCCCGTCTACCCATGCAATGACAACCGCCGTGCCTATAGATCCGTTGAGAGCCCGTCCACCCACGCAATGACAACCGCCGTGCCTATAGATCCGTTGAGAGCCCGTCCACTCACTTGATGACAACCGCCGTGCCTATAGATCCGTTGACAGTCCGTCCACCCACGCAATGACAACCGCCGTGCCTATAGATCCGTTGACAGTCCGTCCACCCACGCAGTGACAATCGCCGTGCCTATAGATCCGTTGAGAGCCCGTCCACCCACGTGATGACAACCGCAGTGCCTATAGATCCGTTGAGAGCGCGTCCACCCACGTGATGACAACCGCAGTGCCTATAGACCCGTTGAGAGCCCGTCCACTCACTTGATGACAACCGCCGAGCCTATAGATCCGTTGAGAGCCCGTTCACCCACGCAATGTTAACCGCCGTGCCTATAGATCCGTTGAGAGCCCGTCCACCCACGCGATGTTAACCGCCGTGCCTATAGATCCGTTGAGAGCCCTTCCACCCACGCAATGTTAACCGCCGTGCCTATAGATCATTTGAGAGCCCGTCCACCCACGCAATGTTAACCGCCGCGCCTATAGATCCGTTGAGAGCTCGTCCACCCACGCAATGACAACCGCAGTGCCTATAAATCCGTTGAGAGCCCGTCCACCCACGCAATGACAACCGCAGTGCTTATAGATCTGTTGAGAGCCCGTCCACCCACGTGATGACAACCGCCGTGCCTGTAGATCCGTTGAGAGCTCGTCCACCCACGCAATGACAACCGCAGTGCCTATAAATCCGTTGAGAGCCCGTCCACCCACGCAATGACAACCGCAGTGCCTATAAATCCGTTGAGAGCCCGTCCACCCACGCAATGACAACCGCAGTGCCTATAGATTCGTTGAGAGCCCGTCCACCCACGTGATGACAACCGCCGTGCCTTTAGATCCGTTGAGAGCCCGTCCACCCACGTGATGACAGCCGCTGCGCATATAAAGTCGTTGAGAGCCCTCTCACCCACGCAATGACAGTTATCGTGCCTACAAATCCGTTGAGAGCCCGCCCATACATGCGACGACCCGCTGAAACGTGACGGTCGGCTCTGACCCGGAGCCGCCCGGTGTGACACCTGCCGCTGCTGCGCTGCAGATCCGGTCGGAGGCGGCCTACCTGTACGACGCCGTGCACCTGTACGCGTGGTCGCTGAACGAGACGCTGAAGATGGGCGGCGACCCCCGTAATGGCACGGCCGTCATTGCGCGGCTGCTGGGCAGGTCCTACTTCAGCGCCATGGGGTAGGTCCTCCGTCGGCGCCATGAGGGTAGGTCCTACTTCAGCGCCATATGGTAGGTCCTACGTCAGCATCATGGGGAAGGCCACACCACGTTGTCACGGGGTAAGTCTTACTTCATTGTCCTAGGGTAGGTCCTACTTCAGCGCCACAGAGAAGGCCACACCACGTTGTCACGGGTTAAGTCTTACTTCATCGTCCTAGGGCACGATGATTTTTTTAGCGCATACTTTAGCGCCATGGAGAAGGCCACACCACGTTGTCATGGGGTAATTCCGACCTAAGCGCGATGGGGTGGGCCTTATTTCAGACACTGATGTAAGCATCTCCTCAGCCCGCGAGATAGGTCCTACTTGAACTCCATGGTGTAGGTCCGTATACATCGTCATGAGATAGGAACCTTTCACATGGGTGACGACGGTCTTACTTTATCTACATAGGGGTAGATTCCACTTCAGCGCCATGGGATAGGTCTTACTTCAGCGCCATGGGATAGGTCTTACTTCAGTGCCATGGGATAGGTCTTACTTCAGTGCCATGGGATAGGTCTTACTTCAGTGCCATGGGATAGGTCTTACTTCAGTGCCATGGGATAGGTCTTACTTCAGTGCCATGGGATATGTCTTACTTCAGTGCCATGGGGCCAGTCTTACTCAAACGCCGTGAGCGCCATGGGCCGTGTCCTACTTCGGCGCCTTGGAGTAGGCCGGGCCGGGCCCCGCTGAAGCACTGGTGCACACAGCGACCGAGCCCAGGGCTTCCGTCAGCGGGGACAATCGCCAACGGCTAGCAGTCAGTCCTGCTATGCATTTACAGAACTGTTGTGAACGGATTCAGTCGGACAGGACGTGGATACCGGACTCATCTGAACCGCGGACCTGAACCATGGCCCACAGTCCCGTCACACTCAAATGTGTGAAATAGTTCAACGCTCGCTATTTATTGGTATCTCCGTCGCGCGAACCTCATGCGCCTAACCTGTTCGTCATACGCTCGGTTCCCAGCGCGCTTGACTCTAGGCACAGCCCGTGTCAGCGCAGTATCTGGGCCGGGCTTTGTGTGGTCGATAAGCCAGCCGCTGACAAGGCCTCGTTAGCCCCGAGTCGATCACCAGTGCTGGCCCCGAGTCGATCACCAGATCACCAGTGCTTTCCCACTACGGCCGATGATATATGCTTCACAGTTACGGCAAGCAAATAACGGCATGGTTGGCGCGGGAGAGAATTGCCACATCGTCTATTGCGCTTTCTCAAAACAACCGAACACCCTCCCTATGTGATGGCGCGCCGTTATGTGCCCACGTGTCCCACCAATCGCGCGGCGCACGCGCGTCACCAAGCGCACGTGTCCATGTCCACGTGTCCATGTGGCCATGCCCGCCCATGCGATCATGTTTTCCGTGTGATCATGTTTGTCCATGCGACCATGTCTGCCCATGTGATCATACTTATCCATGTGGCCATGTCTGCTATGTGACCGTATTTGTCCATGTGACCATGTCTGTCCATGTGCCGGCAGATACATGGTGTACATGGACGCGCACGGCGACACGGAGGGCAACTACACGCTGATCCAGCGGCGCCGGGTGGGCGGCGCCGTTGGCCTGCACCCGGCCGGCGTCTTCCAGCTCAGAGGCAACGGGACTGACCTGCCGGTTAGTCGCTGCCGGCTGGGGGCGCCGCCGTCGGCTGGAGGCGCCGCTGCCGGCTGGAGGCGCCGCTGCTGGCTGGAGGCGCCGCTGTCGGCTGGAGGCGCCGCTGCCGGCTGGGGGCGCCGCTGCCGGCTGGAGGCGCAGCTGTCGGCTGGAGGCGCCGCTGCCGGCTGGGGGCGCCGCTGCCGGCTGGAGGCGCAGCTGCCGGCTGGAGGCGCCGCTGCTGGCTGGAGGCGCCGCTGCTGGCTGGAGGCGCCGCTGTCGGCTGGAGGCGCCGCTGCTGGCTGGAGGCGCCGCCGCCTGCTGGAGGCGCAGCTGGAGGCCCGCGCCGGGCGCCCGTCGCCCGGTCCGGCGGCCTGTCGGACAGTCGTCTGGGGTCGATCGGAACGCCTGCTGTACTCCTGTCCGGTGGAGGGCCTCCGTCCTCGCGATGGAGGGCCTCTTCTTATTGGTGTATTGTCTTAACAGTTGCAGAAGTCATGTTAGTGTTCGAGGGTCATGTTGCGACCGGGATTCGAACCCAGGCCCCCACATGGGAGCTGAAAACGCCAATCACTCGACCACCAAGTTCTGGTCGGGTTAGGCGGCACACTTATGTTTGATACTTTGACACGAGCGAAGTCACTTAGGAATGGACCTTACACGAGCTTCAGTAGGGGCGTCAACCGCTACTGGTTTGCCTGTCAGTGTTCGCGTGGCCGACATGTCGTCAGTGTTCCCGTGTCTGGCATGTCGTCAGTGTTCCCCTGTCTAACATTTCGTCAGTGCTCCCGTGTCCGACATGTCGTCAGTGTTCCCGTGTCCGACATGTCGTCAGTGTTCCCGTGTCCGACATGTCGTCAGTGTTCCCGTGTCGACATGTCGTCAGTGTCCCTGCGTCTGAGATGTCGTCAGTGTTCCCGTATATGACATGTCGTCAGTGTTCCCGTGTCTAACATGTCGTCAGTAGGCGGAGCTTACACTCAGCACTAGGTCCTCTGTTTTACCCAGATGACGTGGCTCTCACAAACCGTATGCAATGTGACGCAGCCGCAGGCGCCTGCCTGCTGACCTGCCCCTGACCTGTTGATCTGGCGCCGACGTCGGCCGTGGCGTGCCGCCGCGACGCCGTGACGCGCGTCGGCCGGCACCGCTGACGGGGTGACGTCACGTGCCGGCAGGAGCTGGTGATCGGGACTCCGATCCGCTGGCCGCACGGCCAGCCGCCCATCGACGAGCCGCCGTGCGGCTTCCGGGGCGAGTACTGCATCTGTGAGTACGCCCCGACACGCCCGGGCCCCGACACACCCGGGCCCCCGACACGTCCGGGCCCCGACACGCCCGGATCCCGACACGTCCGGATCCCGACACGTCCGGGCCCCGACACACCCTGGCCCCGACACGCTCGGGCCCCGACACGCCCGGATCCCGACACGTCCGGGCCCCGACACACCCTGGCCCCGACACGCTCGGGCCCTGACATGCCCGGGCCCCGACACGCCCGTGCCCCGACACGCCCAGGCCCCGACACGCCCGGGCCCCGACGCGCCCGGGCCCCGACACGCCCGAGCCCCGACACGCCCGGGCCCCAACACGCTCGGGTCCTGACACGATCGGGCTCCGACACGCCCGGGCCCCGACACGCCCGGGCCCCGACACGCCCGGGCCCCGACACGCCCGGGCCCCAACACGCTCGGGTCCTGACACGATGGGGCTCCGACACGCTCGGGCCCCGACACGCTCGGGCCCGACACGATCGGGCTCTGACACGCTTGGGTCTCGACACGCTCGGGCCCGACGTGATCGGGCTCTGACACGCTCGGTCCCCGACACGCCCGGGCCCCGATACGATCGGGCTCCGACACGCCCGGACTCCGACACGATCGGGCTCCGACACGCTCGGGTCCCGGCACGCTCGGGCCTCGACACGCTCGGGCCCCGACACGCTTGGACCTCGACACGCCCGGGCCCCGACACGATCGGGCTCCGACACGCCCGGGCCCCGACACGCCCGGGCCCCGACACGATCGGGCTCCGACACGCCCGGGCCCCGACACGATCGGGCTCTGACACGCTCGGGTCCCGGCACGCTCGGGCCCCGACACGCTCGGGCCTCGACACGCCCGGGCCCCGACACGCTCGGGCCCCGACACGCCCGGGCCCGACACGCCCGGATCCCGACACGTTTGGGCCCCGACACACCCTGGCCCCGACACGTCCGGACCCCGACACGCCCGTGCCCTACACGCTCGGGCCCCGACAAGATCGGGGCTCGACACGCCCGGGCCCCGACACGACACGCCCGGACCCCGACACGCCCGGGCCCCGACACGCTCGGGCCCCGACACGCCCGGCCCCCGACACGCTCTGGCCTCGAGACGCCCGGGCCCCGACGCGCTCGGGCCCGACACGATCGGGCTCCGACGCACCCTGGCCCCGGCACACATGGACCCCGTCACGTCGGCGCTGGGTGTAGCCTTGCCTACCGCCCAACCCCCGACCTGCGCACACTCTGGTGTATTGCCACTCGTGATGGATCAGCGAGTGTACTTCGTGTGGGGCATTAAGGCTGCGCGCACACTACATTTTGCACCGCTCTAATGGTCATCCTACCTAGTGCCCTTTTTCTCGTGCTCATCCTACGAAGAGCGACTTTGTTGGCCTCTGGGACAAGCACCATGCCTGAGAACGCCGACGTGCGGCACTGGCACATCACCTGTGGTCGATCGCACCTTTTCCGCGGCTTGCTCCTCCTCGCAGCGCGTCCGATCGGCCCCATCTGGGTTATCGCTCCCGCAGCTGACGCCGCCCCACGCCATCCCAGCACGTTACGCGCCCCACGTCAGAGCGGCTGAGGTCACAGAGGTCACAGCTGACACGGCGGAGATGGCGGCGCCGAAAGACGGGCGTCCGATGGCGACCTTTGGGCCGGGAAATCCATTATCCCACGGCTTGCGAGCCAAAGTGGTCTGTTTTGAAGATTCTGGCAAACTGCAGGCGGGGAGGAGTCGAGAGATGGTTTGGCGGAGAACGATAGCTTGCTTGTTATTGCAGATAGTTCTTGGCTTTTATGCAGTTCAGCCCTAGGTCAACGAGGGCGTGCTCATAGCGCATATCTCTAAGGCTTTCAGGGAATAACTTTTGAATATTTTTGAATATTTTTGAGCACGGCGCTGACATTTGAGGTGGCTGAGTTTGTGGGATTTTTACATGTGACGTAAAAATGTGAAGTTTTTTACCTTGCTGGCTCATAGTCTGGAGGCTTTGTCGGGGACATTCTGCTAAAAGTAACAAATAACGTTTATTTCTCCCAGAACCTGCACTTGTGAGGCGTTGCCCAGGCGGCTTGTCTTATCGTTTTGTCGCTGCATTTCGCCATAATTTTGGTGCCTTTTGCTAGGTCAGGTAATCCAAGGTCAAGCTAAGTTAAACTCTGAAATCTGTGACTATATTTGACCCAACTTGGACAGCGGTTAACCGTTTATCGGCTAGGCGGCTGCCGGGTATTTTGGCTTTGCCTGGCGAGAGCCTAAAGAACGTAATAGCTGATAAAAATTCCGTCTGCTTTTTTTTAAAATCTTCTCGACCTTCTGTTGATACATGCGTCACAAATCTCCTGCTGGCAGCTTTTATTCGGTAAAAAGTCGATGTGATGGGCAACCAGCCTCATCCTTCTCTCTGTCCAGAGCACGCGTTAACCCATTTATTGCGTATGCCAGGCGTGTGACGTGTTCTGGAATAGTTCTTGAGAGTTGGACTGCCGCTTATGTTCCTTTTCTACTTTAAGATACTTTGTTTTTGCTTGCTCTTGTCTGGAAACCTAAGGACGACCGTAAGGCGCCCCCCCCCCCCCCCCCTCCTCCTCCTCAAGGATCGCACGGACCCAAAGTAAGAGCGCTTCGCCCGCATTTCAAGCCGTCACGTGCTTGTCACCACACACGTCATTGCAGTGTCAGCCAATACTGGTGACGTCACGTCCCTCTTCAATACAGACACCGCGCGTCAAATCTAGCATGTGCACATCACCGTCCATGGTGCCGCTGAACCACTGGCGACATCGTTGCCAGTGGGCCGTCCCAGGGGCTTCGCGGGTTGCGGCGCAGCTTCCGGAGCGAGGGGCCCATCGGGTGAGAGGTCACGTGACCGGGCGTTGCGCAGCGACACTGACCTGCTGACCTGGCTGGTCTCACCTGGCCTCCCAGCTGTGCTGGCCTCGGACGCCTGGACAGGGGCTGCTTTAGCGAAAATGCGTCGTAGACGAGTCTCGAGGCCCCCAAATTTGGAGTGATAGAAACGCGGCCATGCTCTTTGGTCTGCAAGGAGCGTAAGTGAATGTGCCTCCTGTTGGTGTCGCTTCTGATAGACGCAACCATTGTATGTATATGCTTTGACCTCACATGACAGCATCTGAATGTCGACTTCGCCTCCCAGCTCATGGCCAAGGTTCCGCCTACGATGGTGCAGGGAGACCCGGAGGCAGCTGACAGGCGCAGACCCGTTGTTGAAGGCCACGTGGGAAACACTGACATCTGAGTTTAAAAGACATCACGTGCCGAAGCCGAATGGCATCGGAGATTGCTCATGCGCCGTGGCATTAGATGACGCAATCCATTTCAAGAATTATCCCGGTGGAAGAGCATTAATCTGAGATGCAGATTTGTCTGATCCCATTCGACCTACTCCAAATTGCTGATGAGAAGTCAACTGGGCTGCAATTGGTTTCAGTGGAGGCATGAGACCAGTCTGTAGCCCCGCAAACACTTCAGCGTTTTCCGCATCTAGCTTGAAATCTGAATAGCGTCTGCATGCTGTGCAGATAGCAATGCTAGCCTCATGCATGTATGATTTATCAATGCATTTCGAGTCAGCCCTCGTCACTTTCACTTGTTGTCTTTGCATATAGATGGATGCGGTCGATCCTTTCAGAGAAGAATCAAATCGGCTTCGATGTCTTGATTTGCAATCGCGAATATCGGCATATCATGTAGCAACGTTCCATACATTTAGTGGAGTATTGATAACTAAATTGTCTTTGTCAGCTTTGGGCACGTGCACTTCAAAAGAACCGTCGTGAAAGGCTGCCGTAGTCCGCATACAAAAGAAGTAGCCTACGCAGGCGAGAGGAGCTGACGTCCTGTTCGTCACGTGACGCGTCGTCACGCTGCGTTTCAGCCTACACCACAGAGATCGCCTCGGGGATAGTGGGTGGCATCGTGCTGGTGCTGATCATCATCGGACTCGTCTTCTACCGGTGAGTGTAGCTCGTCTTCTACCGGCGAGTGTCGCTCGTCTTCTACCGGCGAGTGTCGCTCGTCTTCTACCGGCGAGTGTCGCTCGTCTTCTACCGGTGAGTGTCGCTCGTCTTCTACCGGTGAGTGTCGCTCGTCTTCTACCAGTGAGTGTCGCTCGTCTTCTACCGGTGAGTGTCGCTCGTCTTCTACCGGTGAGTGTCGCTCGTGTTCTACCAGTGAGTGTCGCTCGTCTTCTACCAGTGAGTGTCGCTAGTCTTCTACCGGTGAGTGTCGCTCGTCTTCTACCGGTGAGTGTCGCTCGTCTTCTACCGGTGAGTGTCGCTCGTCTTCTACCAGTGAGTGTCGCTCGTCTTCTACCGGTGAGTGTCGCTCGTCTTCTACCGGTGAGTGTCGCTCGTCTTCTACCGGTGAGTGTCGCTCGTCTTTCTACCGGTGAGTGTCGCTCGTCTTCTACCAGTGAGTGTCGCTCGTCTTCTACCGGTGCGTGTCGCTCGTCTTCTACCGGTGAGTGTCGCTCGTCTTCTACCAGTGAGTGTCGCTCGTCTTCTACCGGTGAGTGTCGCTCGTCTTCTACCGGTGAGTGTCGCGGAGCCGCTGTGGCGATCAAGAGCTGGCCCTCCTCAGGCTTAGCTGGGCGGCAGAGTTCCCGTGTCTGGAGGAACTCTGCCGCTTAGCCGGGTCCACTGCAAGCTGTGCAGACTAGATGTCTGTACGGCTTGGAGTGGACCCTTGGATGCGCGTTAAGTGTGAGCGCCTGGCGGAGTTGGCTACTGATTTCGGGAGATTTCCGGACATTGACATGGGAATCAGGGAACGTCTTGCTGATGCTTTTAGAATGTTGCACGATGCTGCTTGTTGTTCCTCTTTTGGTTGTAATGAGCTGTTCAGTCGGTCACCACGCTGACATCTGCTGCACAGCTCTGTTGCTTCGTTGCCCGTGGAAACAGAGGCTTATCGGATTTGAAATAACTTGGAGGGCTTCAGGAATGTGTGTTGCTTGCACTGTCTGCTGGCTGATGCCCATGGCCATATACAAGAACAGGGCATTGTCAATCGGCTGGCTCAATCTCGCAATGAACGTCGAAAAAGAATCGCATTCGACGTTACGTACAGATAACTGTCAGGAGGCAGTTAAACGTCACGAAATATCCCTACCGTTTACGGAGGCAATCGTCTTCGTTCCAGTCAGCGCAGCCAGTTGCCGACTGATGAAACAGGGAGAGGTCCTACAGCATGTACCATGGATCGCAGCCAAGCCGGTTTGATGCGCACATAAACGTGTTAGCAAAACGGGAAAGCTTATAACTGGTAACCACTGACTTGGTCGCATCATGCCTTTCCAGAAAAGTATTTCCTTTGTCACGTGTTTGTAAACAGACTAATTTTAATGCACAGGCTGATGCTGGAAGGAAAACGTGCTCTTTTCACCTTTATCTCAAACACATTTCCTAATCTCGTCCAGCTGTAGAATGCCTTTACACATCGGTGCTCAAAACAATCTGTCTTTGGCTTGGAAAAAATTATTCGCTTCCCAAACAGCCAGCAGCGTCCAACGGCAGCTACAGCAGGCTGATATCCCACGGATTCTGGGAAAAATATGCTTTGATGCCACTGCTTCAGATTGGCTGACTCACAGCCAATGACAAGCGTACGTGCCAAAAGGTAAAAGGCTTGTCATTGGACGAAAAGGCAAAAGGAGCTTCCCCAGTGATCCAATGACAGGCATGCGTGCCTTTCTTCAAAGGCTGACGAATGTCCGCCGTATGTGTCTCACACTCGATACCGAACTGTCGCAAAAGTCGTCGGCATTTGCTGGGCAGGATCGGAAACCACCAGCGACCGCACTACAGGGCATTATGCGATCAGGTTGTCAAGGCGCGTCAAGGGTCCAGTCACCACCATCACGCCACGTCTGTGACGTCAGCACATTTGCCAAAGTACCGCCCGACTCGGTGCCGGCGACCAGAAAATTAATCCGCTGGAGCATCCAGATGACCGCGTTTGAACTGGACAGTAACACCTGTTAACTTCCGAACTCTCATACGAACCCGGCACATTCTCCGATCGGTCGAGACGGGTAGCAGGTGCTAAAATCTTACCATAACACGAGATAAGAACAGCGAATGAGACGAATCAAGCCCCTGCGATGCCAACCCAACGGGGACCCGCCGCCGCGGGCTTCCAAGAAGGCTCCACGGCCTCCGCCTGACGTTCACCGTCCGCTCGTTGATGTCTCCCTGACCTTACGCGTCTCTCTGGACGAGCGTTTTACGGCGGACCATCGGGCGAGGTTATCCCACGACATCTCCATCGGGACGTTTATGGCCCCCCGTCTAGCGACGGACCCAAAAATACTCGGCCACTGTTCCGAACGCCATCCAGGCGTGTTCAGGTGGGAAAACTTCCGCCGGGAAATCAGAGCGCTGTTTTCGCTCTGGGCGCGATTGAACGACGCCGAATGGCGCAGCGCGACTGTCGCTGAGCTGTAGTTGTCCAGCTATGACATCAGCATCATCTAGCCGCAGCGCATGCGAAAGGTCACCGGTTGGTGCGCCAATGCCCGGCTCTGAATGTGGGGGGGGGGGGACACGGCCACACGCGTCTGGTGTTCCTCTCGGCGACGGGTAGGCTCAGGCGGCGGCCGCTCAAACACAGCCAGGTCTGTTCTGGATTGGCTGTTCTCCAGCCGGGTCACTCGTGGTCGGAGCGGGCCGGTCAGTCAGGTAATCCCGCCCCCCCCCCCCTCCCCGAACGGCCGCGGCGACCGCGACGACGCATCCCTCCATTTTAGGCAATGACCGCTAAAAAAAAACATCAAAATTGTATCAACGCATACTTGAAACGAAGCAATTAAGTCTACTCCAGTCTGTCAGGACCATTTAAGGGACTGAGAGACGCACGACCCGATCAGTCACCAGTACACCATGGCACAGCGTCGGCGAGAGAGAACGAAGCGATGCCGAGACCTGGTTCCGCGGGAGCAGCCTGAGCCGGAGAGCACCTAACCCTACCACCGGCTTCGGCCCTGTCCCACCCAGCGCCGATCGGTCCCAGGCGCGCCCCGGTCGCACAGGCCCCACACACGGACGCACTCGACTGGAACGTCTCACTAACGGAGCGCTGCGCCGCCACGCGGCAGCGGGCGCCTCGGCTCCAACGCGAAGCGACGTAGCAGCAATGCACGATGTAACACGCCGATGGTGCTGGCGCGCGGCAGGAACTGGCAGTACGAGCAGGAGCTGGACAGCTTGCTGTGGAAGATCGACTACAAGGAGATCCAGATGAGCGACGGAATGTCAGACACTAAGCCGCTGCTTGGTGACAGCTTCTCCTCCAAGGTGAGCGTTGGGCGACGGCGGCGGCGAAGAGGGCCGCGAACAGCGGCACACGTGGGGCTCGGCGAGGAGGAGAGGTGGGAGTGCAATCTGGTGCATCGCTACTAACACCCTGAAGGACGTTTAGAACTTACGCACGAGCGTGCTGTGCGTGCGAAAGCACGGTGCACGGTAACACGTACCTCGTTAAACGGACACTGGTAAAAGCGTCCTCTCCAGTCCTCCAGTCCAGTCCAGTCCTCTCCAGTGTTTGCATAGGTGACGAACCCATTCAGATCTCTGCTCACGTGTGGGTCGGATCGGTCGCCGCTGGTCGAATCCCCACCAACTAACGCTGGTGCGCCTCTGCAGTCTTGCATGCGCTGGCAGCCGGTGGCTTTGGACGTGTATGAGGGTGAGACTCCGGTTGGACTATTGCAGCGCCTCACCCGGTTTGGCGATGCGCACTCTGTATCTGAGGGAAAACTGGAGATGGGGGAGAAGAAATTCATCGACGAGGAATACGAGACGATTTGTAGGAGCGTGATTTGAGTCAGAAGTCACTGAAGCGGCAGCTTCTTCCTGAATTGATAAGCTGGGTGCTCCAGCGCCCCGTCCACGCTCCCAGTGCACCGAAACTTCAGTCATTCAAGCGGTTTGTACTCTGGATCGAGCTTTGCTCTCTTGATCCATAAATGTTTCGTTTAAACCCCCGCAGCGTGTTTAACTCCTTTCGTTCAGACCACTGCAGCATACGCATGAAGCGTTGAGGTGCCCCCGAAGCGCCACAACGCCTCTGTCTGGCTGCTTTCTCCGGATATAATCGCCCTCGCAGCATAGTTTGTCACCATTGGTGAACCAGCGCGCAGCATCAGCACGGCGGTCTTGCGAGGTGAAGTGAGGCGTGAAGTGAACCCGAAGTGAGTGAGCCAGCGTAAGCCAGCGTTTCGCATCGCTCAGGGGCAGGCAGCCCCCAGAAGACCGGGGCGGGTATATTTCGAACGCCACGACCGCTCACGGGCCGAGGCGAGTCTATTTCAAACACTACCGCCGCTTACAGACACAAGCTGGGCCCCGCTCCCGAGAGGGATGACTAAATAAAGCCTGCCCCTCATCTGATACGGGAGAAGGTTTGGTGCCTTCAGCTGCTGTTCGGAGCTGGAAATGATAGCTCTAACTCCTGGAAGTGCTCCCAAACTATCCAGAAATCACTCCGATAAAATAGCGGACCCTCTTCCCCCTGGCGGGTGCCCACATCACGGGACATATCTCTGCGGCATTCAGTCCACAGTACAACCTTGGTTTGTTTCCAAAACCGAGTCGGTCTTTGTAGCGCACTCATCTGCAGCATTACAGGCTAGGCACCTGAAAGTGCTGGTCTTTGATGATGGACGGATTGACGTAAAAACTCAGCTATGTAACGTTGCAATGCATTTTAGGTCGCCAGGAAAGGATTCTACCGGCTCTTCAGCATCGTTTACTTCGTCCCGCTTTGACGGTGCAGGCAGTAAGGACAGTAATGTTTTTTGCATTATGCGGTCACATAACTTGCATCCTAGAGCAGCTCATTTGTGGTTGGCTTTTAAACGGACAGAATCTGCCCGTGCGTGGAGCTCATTTTGTTCGGTTATGAAAGATCCAACACCATTTCGCGATGAAAATGACTTGCTGTTGATACAACGACCGTCGCTGTCTGAATCAGTGGTCGCTATTACCCGAATCCGAACTCGAAATACGGATAAGTGTCAACTCTGTTCGGGTTGACGCGACTGCAGGAGCCCGCAGATGAGAACAACGATAGCAGAGGCTGTTGTGATACCCCTCTCCGCGCCGTAAAATCCCAGATCATCATCGTACCCCTCGGGCGGTGCTGTTCCAAATCGCGCTGGCTGTTCTGTCCTGATGATGATGTTCGTTTTCTTCTACTGCTCTCCCTGTGATGTTTAAGGTCGTGTGCTAAAACTGAATCACCGAATCTGGTTTGGGGAAAGCGGGAAAAGCCTTGGATGGATAGCGTATGTAACGCCATCTCAGGCCGCGTGCCTTGCTTCCCCGACACGAGTCTGGACGTGCTCTTCAGTTTTTCTCCAGCTCAACGTTGACCATGGTGGGCTGGAGAACCGTGAAAAAAGAGGGAGGTCTGGAGATCCTAGCGATCGTGGGCGAGGAGGGCTGAGGAAACCTGTCGCGAAGCTAGCGCAACGAGCTTCGCTAGATCAGTAAGCTTTAATTTCAGCCAATTTTGACAATATTTGATGTTGCCTTCACTCCACAGCTGCATCGCTGTACTCTGCTTCCTGACACCTACCGCGCTGCAGACATTTTTTCCCAATTTCTCCCTGACGTCGTTCGAGAGGCCGCTTCCACAACCCCCTACTGACCTTGCTCGAGATGCCTCTTCCCCAACTCCCCACTGGACGCATTGTCTTCGCTAACACTTCACTAACCGTGTCCTAGATGTTGCCTCGCCAACGCCTCACCACGTTCCAGATGCTGTCTGGCCAACTCCGCCGACCGTGTGCTAGTGTGTCATCGCTTCATCGCTCCATCGCTCGCAACATCGCTCCAGCCAAACGTGGCGAAGCGAGAAAAATGTTTCTCTCAACGGCACCAGGCGACCGTTTTCGCGTGACTGTCACTATGACCGAAGTAAACCAGCCTAGCACCGTTCGTCCCATCGCAGAGCGGAATGTTGACGTACTGGCCATGCTCCTCAGATGGTGCTCCGCTCATCCCAGGTGAGCCTCAGCTCCAACTGCGAGATGGACTTCCGCTACTCGGCGCTGTACACCACGGTGGGCATATACAAGGGCCGCATGGTGGCCATCAAGGACATCAAGCGGAAGACGATCGACATCACCCGGCGCATGAAGAAGGAGCTCAAGAAGGTGGGTCACGCCGGACGCTCGGACGCCTGTTGCGGCTGCCCGGGCTATTTCGTTAATTGTTGTTGATTGGAGTTTTAGGGCGCGTCGACTACTGTGGTCATTTTGCGCCCAGCTATTTCGTTAATGGGCTGGGCGATGTTCCGATTGTTTTACGAGGCGCGTGGCTGGCGCGGTCAGCTGTTTCGCCTGTGCCTAGGGCGAATCGAAGCCGAGACACGGCTCTGCTGCCCAAATGAGGCTGCTGAAAGTCACGTCTTGGCCAAACGCGGTGATGGAAGTGAGCGGGTGAACCCGTGATCCCTCGAGGAGTTTGCGGTGTCGTGTCATCAGATGGCGAGGTTAGTAAATCCGCCAAGACTATTTGGTATAGGCAAAGGTAAAAACGTGATTGTGCTATTAGTTACAACTTATTTAAGCACAACAAAACAAAACAAAAGCAAAACAAGCGTGTGATTTTTGCACGCGTTGGCTGACATGGGTGTGGCTAAAATCTTATATATAGGATTACGATACAGTATCGTTTTTTGATGAGAATCTCATTTTCCTCCAAAAGGTCTTGTTGCGTCTCAGAACATCCTTAACGAAAGACAACATTTTAAAAATAATATTTGTCATGTTTTTGTATTGTAAACGAAGAGGGCAAAAGACGGGTAGCTTGCTCTTTTAGAATAAAAATATAACATATTGGGATACACTGATAGTTCGCCAGGACAACTAGATGATATTACTGATAATGATATTTCAAGACTTTGTTGTTGCCCAGCAATGTTGATGATATTCATGTTGCCCATCAAAGTTGATGATATAATCTTATCAAGACTTATAGTGTTGCCCCTCCAGCTTGACTATGTTAACCCTCTGATCGTGAGACATTCTTGGCAATAGTACCGGAAATGTTTGATTTTTAAAGCGTAGAAGAATTAGATTCATTTATTATTGCTGTACATTTATTTGAACATGAGTGGAATGAGCGCAAGGTTGTGAGATCGAGACATAATATGGGCTCTACGGCTTCTCTCCAAAATCGTAGTAATTTTGAGAACCAATTCTGAATGTAATTCGCCTGGCTCAAACGATGATATATTTCTCCAAGCACCTTAATTTCATACGGAAGTTACGTTGATCTCCCTTCCAGTGTGTTTTCAACCACATTCTAAACAGCTGGAGTCAGCATTCATTACGTCCGCGGTCTTTCCCGAGCATTTATGGCAAGTAACTTGCGAAATTTGAGCCCCTCCAGCATTGAGAGGACCACGAGGGGCGAGTTATTGGAAGCATTTCAGGGCGAATCACGGGCTATCCAAGTTTAATTTTCCTCCGGGCAATATATGCCCGCATTCTTCGCCGACACAAACTGTTCATGTGCATCATCTGACTCTAAGGCTGATCGGGTCAGTTTTAGATGGTCTCATTGGGATGCACCACATACGCAGCATTACGAAACGTGTATCTCACCTTGTCCCTTCTTGAGCGCGCTATTCAAAACGAAAATTAAAACGGATATATTTGAAAAAGTGATATCACCCACGGCGCTCATTTTCAGCTAGACAACGGCAAAGTCGGCCCAGCGTATTTTGGAATAGCAAGGGTCAGAGAAACGTTGCGTAAGGAATTAAATTCCAGTCCATCACATGCCGATCGCCTTAAGATCAGTTTTACTTTGTCACTCGTTTTGAGTCTATGAGAATAACAGGCCAATCGGCGATCCGCTTTCATGGACGAATGCGTCGTTGCATGGACAGCAATGAATTGCCTTCGGGAGGGGGTCTAAGAGCGGTCACGTGGCACGTTCTCTTTTTTGGAGTGACAGACCTAGTTGGAATTTGTGACTTACATCCTCGCGACCACGGTCCCGGCATGCCAGCCGCCATATGCGTATGTGCTTGGGCGCCTGTTTTATGTCGGATTCGCAATCTCAAGTTCATATGAACGCTGCGTTTTGTTAGCATGGGCGGCTATATTCAAACAGACGCCTTTCGTCAACATACGCTGCCCAATATGGGCTTGATTAAGCTCCTTGATTAGTGCGTGTGGGGCGTGGGACGCAGTAGGTTTAATTATTTTGTGCGAAATCGACATGCAAGGAACACCTCCCGCCGAGTTGGTCCTTTCTGAACTGTGGTTCGAACAAGTCCTCATCAATCAGTCCGGGTGTAGCCCTCACTTGGGAGTGAAAGGTCTCCCTTTTCTTGCATACTAATGTCAGGGAAAGAGCGTGAGATCGCTGGCGTTTGCAAGAAAATTACAGCTCCTTTGTCTCCCGCGCGTCAGCGCCAGTCACGAAGCCATTCATGACTTTAAGAGTCTCCATAAAACCTCAGCGCTTTTGTTGCCCGTGCATGGCTGCCATTCTCCTGCCAAGCGTAGTTCCTGAATAACCATCAAAACGACTTACGCGGCGCGAAACGAGCGAGACCATAACAAATGTGGGAGTCGTTCGTCGCTATGCGGATGATGCCAAAGACGGACCTGATGAAGCCAGGCGGCTTTGGCAGCCGACACCCACAGTTTTTGTCCATGCTGACAAAACTCTATCTTTCACCACAGTTTAAGAGGCCAATTTCCTCTGATGTAGCCTCCGCGCGCCAAATTGCACGTGATTTGCTTGTAAAATGACTGGACATAAGCCAGGCCAGGGTTGATGACTTTAGTGGATGGAGTCGATAAACATGCGATGATTTATGGCCTTTGCCATTGTGGTCAGTGTTGCCAACCGCAGTACCGGGTAGAGACCGTTCATAATGAAAAGATTGCACAGCCATGCAGTTTCGTGGCCCAGTCTAACGCCGTTTGGACCATGGTGTCTGGTATTAAAGCTCGGTTTCCAAAAAAGTGATCCCAGTCGCTTTTATCGGAGCGGCCGCGGGCGCCTGGCCCGTGTCGGCTTACAGATCGGGCGGGCGGGCGGGGTGGGTCGTGGGTTCCTTGGCGGCGATGACCATACATTGTTATTGTTAGGAGAGGCGCTCAGATTTAAGCGTTACTCTTATGCGCCAATCCACTCGTCATGTTGTGTACTGCTTAATGCCCATAATCGAAAAAAACATCAAACTAAATCAAATCAAGAGGTCGCTCACTGGCGTTGCTATGGGCCAGGCAATTCGAATATCACCTCACAAGTTGTGGCCTTTTCATTCTCCCACATTGTGCACATTTGTTATTTATGTGCACACATTATGTGCACATTGCACATAAAGCACGTTGTGTTTTACGTCGTCATGCGCTGTGGTGGCTGATATCTCGCACATCGAAATCCAAAATCCACTAAAGTCATCCTTAATCCTTAAAAACGTCAAAGACCGAAGAGCTCCATAGTTCGCGCGCGAGAGCGCGTGGCAGGCTTCGCACACCGAGCCACACTTTTATATATGCGTTTGTCTGCTTCTTCTTGTGTCGAAATATTTTAGTCTCGCATCGTTGTCACGTCGGGTCGTCTAAGTCCGGATCCGTTCCTGACCGTTCATCTGGAATATATTTAACTCTGATCTGGACGTCTTGACTCTGATCTGGATTTATTGACTCTGGTCTGGACTTCTTGACTCTGGTCTGGGCTTTTTGACTCTCATCTCTTTGACTCTCATCAGAGACCCCGCGAATGTAAATGGAAATGGGTTAACAATTTAAATTAAGATGGCCAAAACCATGTTTATCTGCGAATGATTAACATTCCGCCAGAATTGATAAGTGATACAAATTATGTAAGGTAGTTTTGAGCATGCGCGTTGCACGCATACCAATCTTTCCAACAGAAAACTAGGCGCCAGGCATTGCAGTCCCCGCAGGCCGTGCAGCACTGGCCCCGTGGCTGATAATGAGCTGTAGCCAACAGGTGGACAAAAATGATGAAAAAATGATGAAAAATGATGAAACACTGTCGTTCGAGTTGCTCACGTGTTGACTTTGACCGACGGTGGTCTGCGCTGCTTTCTGGATTTTGCCCAAGATGTCTTTCCACCAGGGCGAAGTTTGACCAGCTGTAGCACTTGCCACCTGCAGGAGTTTGACGTGATCCGTTTGACCCCGGCATCGCCACGGACCCAGAATCATACCCAATCTGGCATTGCCATGTGCCCAGAGTCTGACCTGATCTGGCATTGCCATGTGCCCAGAGTCTGACCTGATCTGGCATTGCCATGTGCCCAGAGTCTGACCTGATCTGGCATTGTCACGTGCCCAGGGTCTGACCTGATCTGGCGTTGCCATGTGCCCAGAGTCTGACCTGATCTGGCATTGTCATGTGCCCAGAGTCTGACCTGATCTGGCATTGCCATGTGCCCAGAGTCTGACCTGATCTGGCATTGCCATGTGCCCAGAGTCTGACCTGATCTGGCATTGCCATGTGCCCAGAGTCTGACCTGATCTGGCAGTGTCACGTGCCCAGAGTCTGACCTGATCTAGCATTGTCACATGCCTAGAGTCTGACCTGATCTGGCATTGTCACACGCCCAGAGTCTGACCTGATCTGGCATTGTCACGTGTCCAAAGCCTGACCTGCTGTGACCTGTGTCGTCAGATGCGCGACCTGCGGCACGACAACCTCAACCCGTTCGTGGGCGCGTGCGTTGACCCGCCGCACCTTTGCACAGTCTCCGACTACTGCACACGCGGCAGTCTCAGGGTACGTGGCCAGGGATGGGCTGGACCGCGCCGGCGTGCGCTGGACAGCCGCTGACCGCGGTAACTGCGGCAGGTCGTCGCAGCCTGCGCCAATCCAAGCACGGCTGTTCAGTCGCAATAATGGCACAAGCGTGGTTCAAAGCGTTAATAATGGCACAAGCGTGGTTCAAAGCGTTAATAATGGCACAAGCGTGGTTCAAAACGTTAATAATGGCACAAGCGTGGCTCAAAGCGTTAATAATGACACAAGCGCCCTGCATTGAATTATTAGTATTTCTAAATCATTCACATCTTAGCTATGTACTTGAATTCTATTGTTTATAATTTAATTTGTTGAATAATTCATGTTGGATGGGGATTCTTGATTACTTCAGCCTTACACTCATTGCGCCCACTTTTCTGCCATCGACCCGAGGACCAGGAGCGGCCCGCCGCCGTCTCTCGTGGCAGTGGGAACATGCGACAACACCCCTGTTAGGAAATCAGAGTATAAGTCGTGGCACTCCTTGTTATGTGATGTGAAAAAACAGGCAAAACATGAGAGCAAGGAGCGTCATCAAATGGTCAGCGAACTAGAGTAGTAGCGGTGAATTCACTAGTGGCGTTACGTAGTGCTCTAGTAGTTGGTAGTGGTTTAAGAAGTGGTTCTTTGTTGAGTAAATATGTTCAGGCATGGGGCAAACTAAGATGGGATTGCGGGAACGCATGGCTTTCAACACAGGGGTGAATTCTGGACTATGGTCTCCGAAACAAGCGAAATTGTCTCATCGTCTCCCTGTTGTCAGTGTCACTTTTGTAATCGTCTGAAGCCTGACGATACATTGCACTACTTTGACGTTCACATTTGACACATTCTTTCGCACGCAGGACATTTTGGAGAACTCAAATGTGAAGCTCGACAACATGTTCATAGCGTCCATGGTGTTCGACATAGTCAGGGTGAGTGAGTATAGCAACCAGACGAGCGTAAGATACGCCGCACTGGCTGAGGTGAGTCATAATCTCCGTTTTTGCGAGTCTCCAGCTCCCACTTAACCCTGTATATGCTGTGGATTCGCTTAGATTCGAGCGGAGGCCGCTTCAAGCTCCATATATCGAAACTTGCTGGTCTTGTTTGGCCATTTTTGAGCTAAATGTCCAGCAATACAAACGTTTCCGACAACTTGCTGTGTTTAAACGTTGACGACGGTGCGTTCACGTCGTGAAAAGTGGACGAAAGCTCCGTCGGTCCTGCTGTGTTTTATATGTGGAAGAAATGTTACATTATAGGAGGGATCGTATTGCCGCATACAGAAGACTGCACAATGTAATATGGGGCGTCGGTGGCTGATGTAGACACGTGCAGTGAGGCGGTTGAATGCTACCTTTGGTCGGGACTTCTAAATTTATCATAAATATGTTGTTAACTTAGAGCTAAAAATACCAAAAGCAGTCAGAAATAACCACGCCGCTGATGTAATGCACCATTGGCGCACTCGTGAGCCTCTCGAGGGGGGGGGGAAGAAACACGATATTCCGAGGGCTTATACGTCATCGGTTGCAGGGTGCGTCAACTTACCACGGTGCTTAGCAGGCCTCAAGGAGTTCTGAACACACTCGCCACTTATTTTCTGTCACAGTATCCCGTGCCACGGTGCTTTGTTCATTTTCAAGGTTGGTTGCATGCGAAATGGTCCGAGTAGCCAATGTGCTGGTAAAATTCTTCATGCAGGATGCATGATTTCAATTAGCTGTGATTTTCGTGGCTTTTGCTAGACATTTGCAATTTAAGGAGTTGAAATTATATTACCGACGGAGTCGTGTTTTCGACCATCCCAAAATAGCAGCCAAATCAGCAGCCCAAGAGCCATTTATCTGATTATACCGGGGTGTTCGGCGAGATCGGTGGGAAGTGTGCTAGAAAGGCCAGCAAGCAGGCTGGATCATGATTTGCTCGTACCACGGCCGCTACTTTCAGTCCCATGTTTACCTAACCCACTCGCAATTTTTACCTTAGCACTGATTCCCCGATCTCAACGCATCTGGGCGTATCTTTCCAACGAACAGACATCCTCAACCTCAGCACACCGCCTTGGATTCCACGGGTAATAGAGCAGTGATGTCAGTATTCGACACAAGGTTTGGTTGATCCGTGTTTCAAGGTCCGTTCAATAGCGGAGGACAGACTACGATCTGATTGGCTCTAATGACGTAGTGACCAGAATTTGCGTTCAAACTGCGAGCTTGTTTCAAGCTGCAGCTCTGTTTGACTGATGATCATGACGGATAAGATGCCCGCCTGGCCTTTCAAGCTTCCTGGACCGCTCCTAATGGTGCCAGCTAGTGCAACGGCGAGCTTATCAGAAGCTGGCACAGGAGGTACCGGTTCCAGGAATCCGTTGCTGCTTCCCCGCGCCGAAAACAGCTATCTGCAACCAGAAGCCCGATGATCAGCCCCGACTAATGAGTCGATGCTCGCCTCCTCCACTGAAATAGCCGGGTGAAACCGCCACTCCCTCACCTCCACCACGGAAAGAACCGGGTGAATCTGCCACCCTCCCTCGCCTCTTCCACTGAAATGGCAGGCTGACCTTGCAGCACTCCGACCAACACGGCCACGGCCGGCAGACGGCGGCGGGGGGGGGGGGGGGGGGCGGTCTGACCTGCGTCCGCCAGACGGCGGTGGGGCGGTCTGACCTGCGCCCACCCGGCTGCGCCGGCGGTCCTGCACCAGTTTGGCCGGCGGTCGCAGATCCGGAATCACCAGACGCCTTCGGCTCCCCGCCCGACTATGGCCCTGGGGCTCATTAGAGCGGGGTCGAACGCAGCGGCGGAGCCAGGTCCCGCCCATGGGGGGCGTGTGCTCCACGCTGTCCTGTTGTCCCGCGGGAGGCCTCTGCGTGGCAGTGCCCGGTCACGGGTCGCTCAGGGCTTGTGAGCCAGCGACACTGCACCTCCCCGGCGGCGGGCACTGACTCCGCCCCTGCCGGGACGACTCGAGGTCTCTGTAATGGCTCGACCGGGCACTCCGGGTCGCGGCTCAGTTAAGCACAGCGTCGCCTCAAGCCAAGTTATCGGTGCCAGAACGGCGACCGGCTCGACGGGAACCAATTGTCTCCGGTCCGTATTTAATTACAGCCGGTAGTTTACCGTTACGCCCGCTTGAAACGGCCATTGGAGAATGAGCTAGGGCCTCTGAGAACGTTTCTGGTCGCCATCGGATGCCAACGCCGGTTTTCTTTGTTAGGCTCGAAAACGGGAATACGAGTATTTATTGCCCAGCGTGTTCAGTCAATTGGGTTACAGGACAGGCCGCAGCACACAGGGCAGATCGTAGTGCGCGGGCCAGGCCGCAGCACGCAGGTCAGGCCGCAGTACGCAGGTCAGGCCGCAGTACGCAGGGCAGGTCGCAGTACACAGGGCAGGCCACAGCACGCAGGTCAGGCCGCGGTACACAGGGCAAGCCGCAATGCTGCCACTCAAGTACATAAAATGTTGTTTAAACGCTGTGAACCGTGTTGGTAAGCCGTGAACGTCCAGGCCGGGTCAAAGGGCTTATTATCCGCACGGCAAATGCCAATAACTTTTTCAAGTTATTTCTTTGACCGGAGCTGATACATTTTAGTTAAAATCAGGCAACAATGAGGCTTAGGATCAACTTCTACACAAACTTTTACTGAGAAACGACTTTTGGACCAGGAGGATCATCCGTAGTCACCGATTTCGCTTGACCCTGGGAGCCCGAGGCTTGAATGACTTGATTTACTGGATCATCACTTGATCACCGCTACACACCGACAATGATCAACTACCTGATACACCGACAATGAAGAACTAATGACCGACCCTCAGTCTATATGATGTCACCCTTCCGACCCCGTCGCGGTTGTCCCCTTCACTCACGTGACCTGGCCTGACCCGTTGCCGTGACCTTACGTGACCTGCCATGAGACGCCTACTTGTGATGTCAAAATGCTAGCTTTATACAGATGTGTTTTCCAGCATGTCTTCATTACCAGATGAAAGCCGTAGTCGCATGCGTCCCATCCTGTCATGCTAGGTCACTGATCTGGCTTGACCTCTGAGAGGTCAAAGGTCAGCAGGCCGTCCAATCAGGCATTGCGCAGCCCTTTTAGTCCAAGTTTGGTCTAGCTCCATGATTCATTACAAATGGTGTGTATTGCACACTCAGAACAGCGATTCACTGCATACTGATACATCATGCAAGCCTTCTAAAGCGGTTCTTTATTTGTTGACCTGGCAAGGTCGAGGTCGCAAATGGCCTCAAAACGTGAGGACTGAAATTAAGCC